GTGGTAAAGTTCTCACTAGCAGGGGATACTCACACAAGCACCTCCCGGGAGTGGTCAGGCGGGCAGAGGTATTCATCAGGGTCTTAGACTTCTGAAAGGGTGGACAGTTTTGTGCCAAACAGGGTCCCTCCCATGGTCCCAAAGGACACGTCACCCAAGGACGGACACTCAAGACTCACGGCTCTTGGTATGAGTACTTTATTTTAATTACAATAGTGCCACACCGGAACCACAGTAGCACAAACGTAAGAATACAAAAAATAGATTCCCCAGCTCCAAACCCCATGTCCTTGTACCCGCAGGGAAACTCCGAGCTTGCGAGGAGGGGTCTTTCTGAGGGCATCTGCCCTCTTACTTCTGTTGTTCTCAAATTTCTGAAGGGGTGAGGGTGTGGGCCGGGAGGGGGGGTGTTGGCTGCTTTCACATCCATCTGTTCCCGCCCCGCCTGGGCCTTCCTGTCTCCCCTCCCCGCACACCCAGAGCAACGAGTACACTGTGGAACCCCAGCTCAGGACCCTGCTTCTAGACGCTGGGCTCGGGTTCTTTCCAGCAGAGCCGCTCCTCGGGGAGGCAGGGGGTTAGTTAGGCCGGGCGCAGGGTGCAGACCCAGAAGGCCTACCTGCGTGTGGCAGGCCACGGCTCCAGCACCTTCTTGCCTCCGGTGTTACCTTTCCCTGAAGAGTTAGGAGACTCCGAGTGTGCTCACAGCGACCGGAAACCCTGTCAGGGGCCCCTTGCAGCTCCCTGTCCCAGGGCTAAGGCTAATCCTATGCCGGCAGGGCTGAGAGAACGCTGTCTGTGCTTTCTGGCCAAGGAGGATTCTGGCTTCTGGGGTGTGTGCGTGTGTGTACATGTGCAATGGGGGAGTAAAGGGTGAGTGTGTGTGTGTGTGCGCGCGCGTGTAATGTGGGGTGCAGCCTGCCGGGGGCTGTAGTGTGTGTGCCAGGGGTTGTGGTGGCCACTTACTGGGCTCCTCGCACGAGGTCACAAGGCTCACCTCCCTACAGCGGTGGCGAGAACCGCAGTGAGCAGGCGCCAACGAAAGGAAGCCATGCATCCCACAGGTCTACGGTTGGGTGATGCTTTGGGTGGATGGCATTCCCGTGGCCCAGAGGGGCTGGGAACTTTCCATTCCATCCTCCTCTGGCTCACAGCACCCCACTCCAACAAAGGGGGGATCCCTCCACCTACAAGGAGTGGTTTCATGCGACGTGACTGCCACAGGTGGCGGGAAGCCTGCTCGAGGCCAGCAGCTCCCCGACACTGGACATCTGGCACGGCCGCCCTGTAGGCAGGTTGGGGCGGGAACCCTGGGGGTTCTGGGAGTGTGGGTATGGTATTGGCTTCTAGTCAGGACACTTGGGGGCTCCACCGAGAAAGCCAAGGGCCTCCTCAGTGGAGCTCAGGGGCCGCAGCCTCGGGTAAGGCACTAGAGAAGGGGTCCTGGGAACCAGGCCAGGGCAACTACGGGCTACAGAGCTTGGAGGGAGGACTGGGCTGTTTTCTCTTTTTTCTTTCCTCTGGTGCAGAGGGTCAAAGAGGCCGTCCACTTCAGGATGTGGGAATTGCCCCAGAGAGGCAACAGATCCCAACGCCAGAAGAGGTGGGGCCAAAAAAAGGACATCTTTGGACAACAGTGTACATCTGATAGGGTGGTGGGGTCTCAGCCCCGAGGGGTTCCTATGGTCTGGACCAGAGTGCTCAGGTGCCCCCACGTTACACACAACGTCCTACTCTGGCTTCGTGCTGCCACAGGTATCAACTTGTTGGGGTTCCCATGGCTGGACTCCAGAGACAGGACAGGGAAGCTGAAAAGGTCCGTGCCCATACCTAGGTCCCTCAGCTGGCTCCTCCCTCTGCCTGGCCCTCACATCTCCTGTCTGTGCAGGTGACTGCAGAAGCAATCACCCCAGCCGTGAGCTAAAGCAGTGCTCAATACGGGGCCTGCTCAGCAGCCTGGGGTCCCCTGGGGTAAATCAGTAGGGCTTCCTTTGTCCACAGGTTATTTAGAAAAAGAGAACATAATAAATATACTAATCTTTCCTTAAAAAAAAATGTTTTAAATGCATTTTTTTCCCTGAAGATTTCCAGTGTATTCCATAATGCTTAAAAAATAGTCTTCCCCCAAAAAATATATCTTTAAAGCATTTGACACAGTGGTATTGTGGTATATCTGGCATTGGATATGGGCAAGGGCTGTGTCCCGTTGCCATTGTCGGCGTGAGGCTCAGGGTTGGCAAGCCACCAGCTCGATACCCAAATGCCTGCCAGCATCACACAGGGGGGTCTGGGATGCCAGGCCTTCACAGAGGGTCAGATCTTGGGTTCGAGTGACGAACCTCCATCATAGGCTTGGACATGATGGCTGCAGATCCTCCAAGGTGGGGAAGGGGCCCTGGGCGGCAGAGGGGCTGGGTGGTGGCCTGGAGGCTGGAAGGAGGCTGACACCCAGCCCCGCTGGGAGCTGGTCTCGGGCCCCTTCCCTTCTTCCATCGGCTTGCACTCTGTGCTTCAGCCCTTACCAGACTTCACATTTGTGATGTGGGTTCATGGGGGAACCAGGCGGGCAGTGGAAGTGTTCTGAGAACTCCCTGAAGTTGGAGAGGGAGCCGATGACGCGGAAGCGGGAGGGGCTGTGTGGGTCAGTGATGAGGCCTTCGTGGGAGCTCTCGGGTGTTCGGACGGAGCACCAGACCTGGGCAGGGGAGAATGAAGGGGAGTAAAGTCACTGTGGGGGCCAGAAGCTGCCAGACTGGCCTCACCATGACAGCAGCAGGTCCCAGGGAGCCAGGAGGACCCGAAGGTGGGGTCAGGAGGCCAGGGCACACACATGCCCGCAGCTGGCATCCTCTCTGGCAGGTGTTGCTGCCCTGAGCCCCTCCAGATAGAGCCTCCCACACCTGGCTTCATCCGCACACCGGAGTTTGCCAAACACTCAGACTTCATGGATTTGATCCAGAACTCTCCTTTGCTGGGCTGGACACTCTGCTTAACTATCTCGTGACTGTGGGCACCAAAAGGAGGCTAGTGGCTGGGCACACACTTAGGGACAGCCCCAGTCTATCATATGTTTAAGAAACATCTGTGGGCTAGAGAGATGGCTCAGAGGTTAAGAACACTGGCTGTTCTACCAAAGGTCCTGAGTTCAATTCCTGGCAATCACATGGCGGCTCATAACCACCTAAAATGAGATCTGGTGCCATCTTCTGATGTGCAGGCAGAATACTGTATTAATAATAATAATGATAACAGGGCATGATGGCACACACATTTAATCAGAGTACTAGGCAGACAGAGTGCAGGAAGATCTCTGTGAATTTGAAGCTAGCCTGGGCTACATAGTGAGATCTTGTCTCAAGAAAAAACGAAAACAAAAAAAAAACCAAAAAAACAAACTTCTAGAATCTTAGACCTAGCAGGTATCTTGGATCACCTTGCTCTCTAATTTATAAGACACAAGAATTTTTTTATTTTTATTTTTTGAGATAGGTTCTTATATAGCCCAGGTTGGCCTCAAAATTGCCCTGTAGCGTGAACCTCTGGTCTTCCTGCTTCTTCACCCGAAGGCTGAGATTCCAGCCTTGTGCCACCACGCCCTTTACGGCTGAGCGGCGCTGGGAATGACTTGGCGGTCTCTGTGCAAGGGGGCAGGCGTTCGCCACAGCTACACCGCCAAGGTACCTGCGTTACCGCTCTTTTCACTCTTGGATTTCTGATTTTATCTTACACACGTGAGTGTTTTACACACCACATGCGTGCAGTATCCTTGGAGGCCGGAAGAGGGTGTCCGCCCCCCTAAAACTAGAGGTACGGATGGCTGAGAGCCACCATGAAGGTGCTGGAAACCAAACCAGGTTCTCTGCAGGAGCGGGCTCTTGAGCCCTGAGCCGTCTCTCCAGTCTCCTTACTACACTTTTGGCCTCCTTCCCAGCATCTCACCTCAGTCCAGGGCAGCGGGGTCACGACCCCCAGGCTGAGAATCACCCTGTGTGTGTGTGTGTGGGGGGATGTCCCAAAGATAGTCCTCTGATTTAGGAAGGTGCCACTTGAGGGGAACCTGCCTTTGGCTCTGAAGCTCCTGGACATTCCCACGGGGAACACGCCTGCCTTTCCTCCCAGTGAGCTCACCTGTGCAAATCCCAGGAAGAAGAGCTGATTGCTAGTGAGCCCCAGGGTGGGCAGCGTCTGCTCAGCCCCGTTCTTCTTTACCCAGTTCTGGTAGGCCTGGGAGGACAGACAAGCAGAGTTTAGGCAGGACACAGGTGAGGACGCACACTCGGGGAGGTTCGTGGGAAGCCCTACCTACGGGGGCAGAGACGGGGGCTTGCGCATCAGCTCCCTTCTGTGCGCCTTCTGCTCCAGCCTCTTCCCAGATGCGTGTATTCAGCGGCCCCAGCCAGAGACCCAAGACGCATCTCGAACCCAACACGGCACAAACGGAATGATAGCCCCCTCCACCACCACAGTCCACCAACCCAGCTTCACACTCAGCAAGATATTTTTTTGTAACCCGATTACGCAGTTCTCAAGCATGACGGTTACTGGCAATAATGCCATGTTGCAATGTCAAAAGCGTGGGCACCCCTGGGAGGCTCTAACTCAAATGTCATGCCCTCAGAAGGCCAGCCTTGGACCGGTGACCTCCACAGTCCATCACCGGCCCCGTTTAATGCCCTTCACACAATCAATAGCAGACAGGCTCTTGCCCGTCTCTGTTCATGTCACGGGCTGAGCATGAGCGGCTCCCGCCTGCCAGCCTCACACTGCCCAGCCCTCAACACAGCACACGTGGGCAGAAGGCTCTGAGTACATGCCTTCTGACAGACAGGGTTAGGCCAACTACAAAATACTTCTGAACTCAGCTCCCGCATCTGCAAAATGGAGATGCGAAGCCAAAACCAAGGCTTGAACTTGCTGGCGACCCCAAGCCTGCTCTCTGCAGTGCAGTCCCGATAAACAGTGCCTTCCTGTTTCTATTCTTACAGTCCTGGCTAGGAAGAAGCCCTGTGCTGCCCTCTGCTGGATATCCACCTCTTCTCTCTTACCTAGTGGCTCTCTGGGTCAAGAGTGACCCTTTTTCACTTTCCAAAAGCCCACTGGTCAGGTGTTACGAGTTCACAGCCATGCAAGTCAGGTGAATTACACCAGCCCTGGGACTCAAACCCAGAACCCTCTCAGTGTCCCCACTGTGAACTGAATGTGAAATGTCTCCTCATAGGCTCAAGTGTTTGAACTCTTGGTTACCAAATGGTGGTACGTGCTGGAGAGGCTGAAATCTTTAGGAGGTGGCGTCTCCCTGAAGGACGTGGGCCATGGTGGGGAGGGGCGGCTCTGGGGTTCACAGCCTACTTCCTAGTTGCTCTCTAAATCCTGACTACAGAGGCAGTGTGACCAGGCAGCTGTCCCGCTGGCACGCATTCCCCCCATGACTGACGGCTCCCCACTGCCCACCAGAGCACATTCCCTGTTCTTTAAGTGGTCAGCTACTTTGTCACAGTGAGGAAAACCAAAAAAACCAATACAGTCCCTCTCCCACCCAGGCCCCTACTTCTGGAAAGAATGGCCAGGCCGTGCAGGCCTCGGTCCTTCCCTGGGTGTCGGGACAGGCAGGTTTCTGGCCGGAAGCCTTCTTCGGGCTGAGGCCACTGCTCTCTCAGTCAGCCTCGGTCGGGGCCAGCAAACCGAGGCGCGGGGGGCTCCCGTAATAATCCCCTGTCCTAGGAGGCGCTTGGGCAGGCCGGGGTCCACGGGGGGCATACCCGGTAGGCCGCCTTGAGCCCCCCGTTGTCTGCGATGTTCTCCCCGAGGGTGTGCCGGCCGTTCACGGGCTCCCCGTTGACGCTGTAGTTGCTGTACTGCTGCACCATGCATTCTGTCTGCTGCTTGAACGCCTCCACCGACGAGTTCTTCCACCAGGGCCGGAGGTTCCCGTCCTTGTCGTACTCCCGGCCTGGAGGGAGGACAGTGGTCACGAGGTGGGACCCGCTGATTGCCCTCCGCCGCCCTCCGCCACCCTCCGGGCCACATGGATGGGAGCGATCAACCTATGTGACGGAGGCCTGGCCAGTCCTACCGGAGACCACATAGGAAAGCAGTCCAGGCATGGAAGGTAAGTTCAAGGGCACGGAGGCTGGGGGCGGGCTTTTCATACTGGCTAAGGGCCCCTGGCCTCAAGGAACAGAATCTAGCCGGGGCAGGCAGTGCCTGGACCACAGGTAGGCCTAGCCTTTCCTCCTGGGCTATGGGGTCCCCGAGGCAGCAGTAAGTGGGAGTCTGGCTGTTAGCTAACAGTGAGGGCTTGACTGCCATTTCTCTGACGATGGATGCTCAGACTAGAGAAGTTTCTAGAATGGTAGAGGACTGTCCGCTCCCTGACGGATACTACTGCCCCTAAGCAAGAGCACTGTCCCCGAGCAGGGCCTTCACAGCCATCCGGGGCCTTCCATGCACACTACGGACATTCATGCTATAGAGGTGTGACCGTGTGACCGGACTGGGTGAAGCTCAGCCCATCAGAAGGCAGCAGAGCCAAGCTCTGAACACTGATCCCTCTGTACGAAGCCCCTTCGAAGCGAAGGGGGGGGTGCCGGCAGGAAGCGGGCAGGTTCCGTCTGAATGGGGACCCCACGCAACCTGTACCTTGATCGTCAAAAGCGTGAGTCAGCTCGTGGCCCACAACGACACCAATGCCACCAAAGTTCAAGGCGCTGGAGGAGGAAACGCACAGGGGAGGGTGAAGGCGGCTATGAGACCCCGAGACAGAGTAGAGACCTGCAGGGCATTCTGGGAATGTCTCCTCCCTTCCCCCCCCCCCCCCCCCCCGGCCCCCGGGACTGCAGGAGGCAGAGCAGGGTTAGCCACAGTCAACCACGTCCTCTGGGGGCCACGCATGCGTCTAGGACACTCGGCAGAATTGGGTCTTAATACTCAAGAGTGGAGTAATGGGGCCAGGTTGGCCTCTGCCAAAGCGTCACATGGTTAGCACCCAGCCTGAGAGTCAAATCCAGGACAGTGGCTTTTAGGCCTGTCTGCCTGAGGCCCAGGCCGAATGTCTGCCCTCCAGCTGTTTTCCATCTTGTACAGAGGGATCCTGCCTCTGTGACAGGCTCCACTAAGCAGGGGCATCCAGAGCCAACAGAGCAGCCAGGGGGACACAGAAGCTGTTTCTCCTATAACCCATCTCCCAGTTCCAGGTTTCCTGGGCCCTCCGGGTACCAGTGGCTCAAGGAGACCAGCTGGCTCAGCGGTTGGCTATGGGCCTGGGCCAGGCCGGACTGGGAGCGGCTGAGGCTGGGGAACGGTTGAGGGCAGAGCATCGGGCGCGACCTACTTGGGCGAGGAGCGGGTGTAGAACGGCGCCTGCAGGATTCCAGCTGGAAACACAATCTCGTTCTTGGTGGGGGAGTAGTAAGCATTCACCATGGGTGGGGTCATACTCCACCTGCAAGCCACAAGCGCGCGTGAGAACGATGGCAAACCAGGTGGAAGGGGGCGGGGCGGGGGGACTTAGAGCCTTAAGAATGTGGGGTCTGAGCCAGGCGTGGTGCAATTCGGGAGGCAGAGGCAGGAAGATCTCTGTGAGTTCAAGGCCAGCCTGGTCTACAAAGTGAGTCCAGGATAGGGAAGGCTACACAGAGAAACCCTGTCTCAGAAAAAAAAAAAAAAGAAAAGAAACTAATACAAACAAACAAGCAGCCCTGGGTTAAATTCCCAATACTACATAAAGCAGGATGACAGTGCGTGCCTGTAATCCCAGTATTCAAGAGACAGAAGAGAAAGGCCAGGAGTTCAAGGTCTACTCTACATCTACTCTACTCTACTGCTACATCACATATTTGAGCCCAAAGCTCAACATGCGTCTATCAGCAGTTCTCACAGCGCCTTCAAGGCTGCCAAAGGCTTGCCCCCACTGGCACTCTACCAAAAAACCAGGTCAACATGGGCTGGAGAGATGGCTCAGAGGTTAAGAGCACTGGCTGCTCTTCCAGAGGTCCTGAGTTCAATTCCCAGCAACCACATGGTGGCTCACAACCATCTATAATGAAATCTGGTGCCCTCTTGCAGATAGAAAATTGTATGCATAATAAATAAACCTTAAACAAACAAACAAACAAACAAACAAAAAACCAGGTCGACAGAGCTGAAATGCAGGTGGCACATGCCAGAAATCCCAGCACTGAGGGTACAGAGGATCAGGAATTCAGAGTCATCCTCAGCTGCATAGTGAGTTCAAGGCCAACCTGGGTGACATGAAATCCTGTTTCAGAAATCAAATAAAAAGGGGGGAGACTGGGGGGATGGTTCAGCGGTGTGGCTATGCAGTGCGAAGACTGGAGTCCAGCTCCCCAGCTCCCTAGCAAATATGGGTGAGCACGGTGGCCAGCCTGCAGTCCCAGCACCTGGGAGGCAGAGATGGGAACCTTGCTCCAAACCCAGGTCAACAGTCCACCCCCACTCTCTGAATGTCCTTGCAAGGCAGGATAACTGCTGAACCCATGAAGCCTGGACCTCTAGCCAGGGCTAGAGACCCTATTTTCCCAAATCAAAACAAACAAACAAAACCCCCAAGACTGAAAAAAAACAAAAACCTTCCTCCTTCCTGGCCTGTGTCTGTGTGAGGCTGGCTTTTCTGTGTAAACTTTGAAACAACATGTTACAGCAGATGAATGTAGAGGCAGACACGAGACTCCAGCTGCCTTCTGTTAAGCCAGAAATAAAGAAAACGGAGGAGGCTAGGATAAAGCTCAGTGGAACAGAAAGGCTCTGATTCCACCCTCAGAATGTATCCTGAAAAATTACAATACTTCTGTTTTATCACACACACATATTCTACCTGTAAAATATTTGTATTTTAGGAGATAGAAAGATGGTTCAGCAGTTAAAAGCATTGTGTGTGTGTGTGTGTGTGTGTGTGTGTGTGTGTTTCCAAGACAGAGCAGAGCCTCTTTGTATAGCTCTGATTGTCCTGAAATAGCTCTGCAGACCAGGCTGGCCTTGAACTCACAGCTATCCCCCTGCTTCTGCCTCCTGAGTGCTGGGATTAAAGGTGTGTGCCACCACCGCCCGGCTGCACTTGTTACTCTTACAGAGGACCTGGCCATCTGTGACGCCAGTTCCAAGGGATCTGACCTCTGGGGGCACATACTCGTGGTACACAGACAGACAAGCAGGCAAACTCGCATACATGTACTTAAACACGTCTAGACAGTGTGTTTTATTTGTGTGGGCATGTACTGTGTGGGCATGTGCAGGTGTCCACAGAGGCCAGAGAGGCCGAGAACCATATTTTGGCCTCCTAGAAAAGCAGGGTATGTTCTTAACTGCTGACCCATCTAATCTCACCTGAACTCATTAGAGAGAGAGGGAGAGAGAGACGCCGTCTCACTATGTAGCCCTGGCTTGCCTGGAACTCTCTATGTGGACCAGGCTGGCCTTGAACTCAGAGGTCTGCCTGCTTCTGCCTCCCAAGTGCTGGGATTAAAGGCGTGCACCACTATACCTGGCACATAACAATATTTCTGAGAAGACCCCAATTTTATAAACTTTTTGTAAAACCAACAGAATGTATGTTTTAGGAGTGTTTTTTGAGGGGAGAGTGTCTGGCTATTTTATTTTTGAGAAGATGTTTTGTGTCTTCACTATTTTCTGTTCCTCCTTCCTCCATCTCCTAAATTCTGAAAGTGCAAGGGAGGTGCATATCTTGCTGGGTGTAAAATTTACCACGTCACATCCGTATCCAAATAACTGCCGATTCATTCACGGGCACATAACACAATTTAGCTGAGAGACTAAGTTGAATGTACAAATTCGGATGGATTGGCAGCCATCTCCTTAAAAGCCCATCTCCTTGAGCTTCAGAAGTACCGCTAAGGGCAGGATGCTTAGAGGAAACAGGCGCTGGAACCTCTTGTCCACAAGAGGGCGCCAGAGGCAAAGGGGCAGTGCCATTACTTAGCCTTAAGGATTGTGCAGAATGTTTTTGGAATTAAGAAAGATGTCTGACTTTTCTTTCTTTCTTTCTTTTTTTTTTTAATTTAATTTTATTTAATGTGCATTAGTGTGAAGGTGTCAGATCCCTTGGAATTAGGGTTATAGACAGTTGTGAGCTGCCATGTGGGTCATGGGAATTGAACCGGGGTCCTTTGGAAAAGCAGACAGCCATCTTTCCAGCTCCTTCTTCTTCTCTTTTTTTAAAGGTGTATTTATTTATGTATATGAGTACTCTATCTGCATGTACACCTACATGCCAGAAGAAGGCATCAGATCCCAGTACAGATGGTTGTGAGCCACCAAGTGGTTGCTGGGAATTGAACTCAGGACCTCTGGAAGCGCAGTCAGTGCTCTTAACTGCCGAGCCATCTCTCCAGCCCTGGTGTCTGACTTTGCTAAAGAGATTTTGTTTGTTTGTTTCTTTGATTTTGCTTTGTGTTGAACTTGGGGCTTCACAATGCCAGACAAAAGCTCTCCCCATGAGCATAATATACCTGCTTAGTTCAAGAGTCTCTTTCTCTCTGTTTTTGCGTGGTGTATGCATGTGTGTGCACAGGTGTGTGGAGGCCAGAGGTCACTGTTGAGTCTCTCTCTCTGCTGGAGGGGGTTCGAGACAGGGCTTCTCTCTATAACAGCTCTGGCTATCCTGGACTTGCCCTTTAAAGACCAGGCTGGCCTCGAACTCACAAAGACCCACCTGTCTCTGCCTCCCGAGTGCTGGGAGTGAAGGTTAGGCTCTTTGTCTCTTACTGTCCACACTGATTTTTTTGAGACAAGGTCTCTCACGGTACCTGGAGCTTGCCAATTTGGCTAGACTGGCAGGTGGGCCAAGTCCCAGGAATCCTGTCTCCTCCGCCTCCACGGAGGTGAGCACAGCACCCTTACTCTTCTGTAGCATGCACTTTTATTTTCAGTTAAATAAAATAACCAACATAACCAAAGCTGTGTGAAGCAGCACCTGCCTGTTGTTGGGCACGGACACTGAGGCAGGAGGGCTGGAGCTCAGGGGTTCAAGGCCATCCTGGACAACACAGCATGACCCCAATCTCAAAAATGATGGAAGACAGACGCTGCATTGCGCTACAGGTTATTCTAATTTAATCTGGGGTCTGTTGGAAGGGCTGGATTGAACCTGGATCCTTGCATGGGCCAGCAAGCACTCTACCACTGAGACAGGCCCTGGCCCAAACATCTATGAAAAAGTTCCCTAGATGCTGCTGCTGCTGTGGGACAAATGTGGTTCAGCAGTTACAGCTGTTGGGGCCCATCTGGAACCATCTTCAAGTCCCTATGGAAAAGCTACCGCTTTTGATCACCAGCAATTGAGGACCACGTGGGGCCTGCCCCTCCCTAGGAATTCTAACCTTTCGTGACCGAAGAGCGAGCTTTCCCCCTCCCATGGTCAAGAATGAGAAGCAAGCTCTGAGAGCTGCCAACGGGAAGCCAGCTCTGTTCGGCTCTGGGGTACCACTCACTCTGGCAGCAGGCCAGGTGCTGTGGTGACGTGGACTCGCCAGCCCCAAACCAGGACCCACTTTGGCCTTCGGTTTCTGCATTTGACGAGTGGGAGGACCACCTCCACTCTTCGGAGGACGCCGGTGGTATCTGGCTCAGGCAAGCAAGTGAAGCCATGCTCTGCCCAGCCTGGGTCACTCTGGGTCTCCCGGGGTGCAAGGAACCGACACACCTTGCCGGGGGTGGGGTGGGGGTGGGGGACAGGACTCACTGGTCTCTGTTGGGGGCTTTCCTGAGCTGGTCAGCTGTGACCCTCCAAGAGAAGTTGAAAAACCTCATGGCGTTCTCAAAGTAGAGATCGGGGACTGCAGTGTACTGGGAAGATAAAGCAAGGCAAGAAATGGAAGCATGGTCAGCCTGGGAACCTTCTGGAACCAGGAGAACTGAGACACCCCCACACACACACGCAAGGCCAGCTGACTGGGCTGGGGTGTAGCTCAGTTGGTAGACTGCTTGCCTCTCTCAAACAAAGCCCTGAGTTTAATCCCCAGCAGTAGATATGGCAGTACATGTCTGTAATCCCAGCACTCAGGGAGGCAGAGGCAGGTGGATCACTGTGAGGTATGAGGACAGCCTGGTCTACAAAATGAGTCTAGGACAGCCAAGACTACACAGAGAAACCCTGTCTCAAAAAAAAAAAAAAAAAAAATCCAAAAGACCCTGTCTCTGAGTCAGCAAATGAAACAAAAATTAACTTAATTAAATAGCTCCCTGTGGGCAGCACAGATGCAGGGCTTGGAGCTGAACTCTATCTCAGAAGTGTCGCGGTATGCACCCCCATACACCTGTTAGTGCCCAGTTGCACCCTCAAATGCCCTTCAACACCCAGGCTGGCTTCTCTGTCCCTGACAAACGCAGAGCTATCGCTTAGATACCTTCTAGATCTTTCTGGCTACAAAAACATCTGTCAGACACTGGCTCCCAGGGAAGGAGGTGGGTCTGGGGGCAGCTTCTACATCCTGACCCTCGGGAACACTTCAAATGATTCTCAAGGAATCAGAGCTGCAGACAGAGTCTGACAGCCCCAGAGGTGATTTTAATAGACTCAGCTTTGAAATATAACGTGAGGTGAGGCTACTGCCATGTTAAAAGTGCCCCGAATAGATAAATTTCAATCCTGAGAACTCGGAAGACCCAACCACGTGGGTCAGAACCATCCAGATCTGCTCAAGGCAGTTCCAAGCTGCAGGGGCCTGTCGATTACTCCTCATGCCTAGCGTCAGGGATGTCTGCCTCCTCTTTCCATTAGCATCTCCAGGTCAAAGCCAAAGACCCAGGCATTCTCTGAGGAAGGAAGAGAGGAATGTGGGGGAGCAGCAGCTGGGGAGGGGCTCAGTTCAGTCACTGAGATGCTTAAGGGTCACTAAGTCTCACTGTGCCTTTGAGGATCTGCTTTTTTTTTCTTTCTTTTCATTTCTTCAAAGATTTTTTGTTTGTTTGTTTGTTTTGTTTTGTTTTTGAGACAGGGTTTCTCTGTGTACCCTTGGCTGTTTGGCTGTCCTGGAACTCACAGAAATCTACCCGTCTCTGCCTCTGGAGTGCTGGGCTTAACGGTGTGGGCCACTACCTCCCAGCCAAATAATTTTTAAAATGTGTGTGTGTGTGTGTGTGTGTGTGTGTGTGTGCATGCACATGTACATTTCTGGGGGGGGGGTGGCCATGGAGGCCAGAAAAAGACGTCATATCTCCTTGAGCTGGATTTGCGGTTACAAACTGCCAAATGTGGGTGCTGAGAACCTGATGCAGGCCCTCTCTCTGCAAGAGTGCTATGTGTTCTTAGCCACCCTCAATCTTCTGATTTGTTTGTCTGAGACAGGGTCTATGGTGTAGTCCAGGTGGATCTTGAACTTGCCAAGCAGCCAAAGACGGCCTTGAACCCCCTGTTCCTCCTGCCCCAGCTTTCGGAATGCTAGGACTGGACATGCGTTACATGTCTGGTTTGCCCTCTCTTCTTTTTTCTGTCTCACAGTATTGGGGATGGAACCGACGGCCTCATACACTCTAGGCGCGTGGTCTACCACTGAGGCACCCTGCCCTAGCCATGCACTCATTATTTCCCACTCACTCCCTGGAGCTGGCCTCTTCTAGTGGGGCACACAGCTCCGATAATAAGCACTGAGCAATGGCTGATGGTGGCTCTGGGGAGACAGGGACCCCCACTGACCCAGGACACAAAGGAACAGGGAACGCTTTCCTCATGCCCACATCCCCAAACCCCACCCACATCACTTTGGTACAGGCTGATAACCACGCTACCTCTGGCATCTAAATGAGACCCACCCTGACATTTTCTCCCGTGGGCATCTGGGGGCTTGAGGGGCAGGTGGAAAGCACTTACATCATTAAACACTTTGTCCAGCTCCTTGGGGTCCATGATGAAGTTGGGGTATCCTATCATGTTGTAGATGGCATCCGCCTGGATAGGACAGAGGGGGGTAAGACCGAGTCAAAGGATGCTGGCCAAGCCCGCCCCAGCACTGTGGAGTGCAGGCTCAGGGTCTGTGCCAAGGAGAGCCGGGGCTAGCCTCCCACCTCCTTAAGGCTTTTCCTGCAACAAGTCTGGTAAATTCTGATGAAATGTCACTTCCCCCAAGAGAGCCATCATGGTTTGGATGCATGCCCCAAAGTCTATGCACTGTAACTGAATCCTGAGCAGAACAGCAGTGAGAGGTGACTGGGTCACACAGCCTTCCTGAACGGTAGCCATGGTTGCAGGGATGAGCTAGGATGGAGGGTGTCACAGGAGTCGGCTCTTAGGAAAGGGTTGGTCTAGCCCCTCCGGGTGTGCCTGCTCCTCACCCCCGCCCCCTGCTACGGGATGTCTCCTGACACCACGCCACTGGGGTCTTCAGCATGTCCTGGGTCCCGCTGGAGTCACAGGGCACGATGGCCTCCACATACGTCCTCCCTAGCCAGGACCCCCTCCCCCCATGGCTCTGCTTCTGCACTGGTAGCCTGGCGCCCTCTGGCCTCCCAGAGAGCCTCACCTTCTCCCTGGCCGATCTTCGGGTGTCTTCATCCATCCACTTCACGGTGCTCAGGCTCTCCTCAAATGCGTTCTTGATCTCCAAGATGATCTCGCTGGCCTGAGGGGACAGAGGACACACCGCTAAGAGCTGCGCTCTGGCCTCACTCGGGTGCTCTGTCAGGGAGGAGCCATGTTTCCTACCCACCCTCCCGCAACAGAATCCTGCAAGACAAGGCTGGCCCCCACTGACAGGACTCGGGTCAAGGAAGATGAGGCAGCTTTGGGGAAGCTGGGAATGCCTGTGATACAGGACATTTCAGAGCCTTTGACACGGCCCAGTGTGCTCCGATTCCTCCTGATAAGACGAGAATCCATAGCCTTTCCCAGACTGACTAGAGCAAAGAGATCAGGGATGGGGAGACTGAGGCAGAGGGCCCTTGACTGCCACTGCAGCCTGTCTGTTAACCACCAACTGACATCACAACTTCTGTGCAATCAGCAAGCACCATTCGCAACAGAACCTGCCACAAGGGCCGGGGCTCAGCGGTGGAGTGCTGGCTTACTACGCATGGGGCTCTGGGTTCGACCCCCAGCACCCCCAACCACAGGAGGCGCTTACTATGTTCTTGCTGTCTTCAGCGAAGGTCGCTTTCACAAACATGGGTCCCAGGGCGAAGCCCAGGTTGTTCTCTGTGTCACTCACGCAGAACTTCCAGCGGGGAAGACAGGTCTGAAAAACAGACACGGCTGTCAGTGGGCTCAGCCCTCTGTCTCCCAGGCCCTTTCTGCCTGGGGGCCTGTGCTTTCTCCTGGAGCTTCAGAGAGATACCCTTTTCTGACCCAGTGAGGGCTATTCTAGAAGATGCAGGGCTGGGGATAGAGCGCTTGCCTGGCATATATGATGCCATAGACTCTATCACCAGTACTGAAGAGGAAAAAAATACATATATAGGCATGATGGCCTTGAATTGGTGACCTGAGTTCCGAGACTAGCCTGGTCTATAGAGGAAGATCCCCTTTCTCTCTTCAGCCTGGTCCCGAAAAGCCTGGGGATAAGCTCCAGCCACCAGAGAAGGCCCTCAAGTCCACAGGACGCCTGAGCAGCATAAACTGCAAACCACATGGCAGGCCCGAGCCGGAGTCTGGCTGTAGCCCTGGGAAGCCTCAGTCCCACTTGTCCCTGCCTGGCAGCCCTTGAGGACACTGTGACCACACATGGGAGCCGTGCTCAGGTAAACTGCTGCTGCTGCAGGGGCCTCTTCCCCTGGAGAGGCAGCAGCAACAGCCTCCCTCACTCCAGAAAGCCTGATGCAGCCCAGACTGCTCACAATGCAAACGCCTATCACAGACAGATAGATAATCAAAAAGTGTGGATAATCAAAATACAGGTTTATCATTTCTCCACCTCCTCCTCCTTCTCTCACCACGTAGCCCTTACTGTCCTGGACTCACTTTGTAGACCAGGCTGGCCTCAAACTTATAGAGATCCGCCTGCCTCTGCCTCCTGAGTGCTGGGATCAAAGATGTGCGCTATAACCGCCCACCTGGCCAAAATACAGGGTTTTCATATGTGATATGCCAGTTGGCACAGCAAAGGAATAGACAGTCGGGGACTCAGCTACGTGGAGGAGACCTACATGTTTACCCCGGGAATGAGGAGCTGGCACAGTGTGTATGTGGGTGCCCCCCAGGCACTTCCTGCTCAGGATGAGGTCAACAGGGTTGGGAATGTTTTCCATCTGGCCTGGGGTGGTGAGCACCTGAGGGATTTCATTTGTGAGAAGTCACTGAACTGGTTACCTAAACGCATTACGTCATTTTTAAAGTTTTTAGAAAAGAGATGTATGTGTGTGAATACTCACATGTAAGCATGGGCACACTCATGTCACTGTGAGTGTGTGGAGGTCAGGGGTCAGGCACTGGTCTTGACCTTCCATCTTAAGGCAGGGTCTCTGTTGTTCCACCAGTTATCCAGCCCACGCGTGCCATGGATTCTCCTGTCTCTGGGTACTATCTCTCCACAGGAGTGCTGGGATTACAGACACATGCAACTCCGTCTGGCTTTTATGTAGGTTCTAGGGATCTGAACTCAGGTCCTCGTGTTCGCACTGCAAACATTTTACCCACTGAGACATCTCTCCATCTCTGTATACCTCACTGTGGATTTTATCTTGCACATTTTTTTTTAAGGCAAGAAAGAAGCAAGGAGGGCACACATGGTAATCCCACCATGTGTAAGGTAGCAACAGGAAGATGACAAGTTCAAGGTCATCCTCAGGCACTCGGTGAGTTTGGAGCCAGCCTGGGCTACATGAGTCTGTGTCAAAGACAGACAAAGAGGGCAGGTGAGATGGCTCAGTGAATAAAAGGGCTTCCTGCACCAAATCTGACGACCTGAGTTCAATTCTTGGAACCCATGGTGGAAGGAGAGAACTGACTCACCCAAATTGTCCTCTGACCTACACACACACACACACAATAATTAAGTAAAAGAAAAACTTAGGAAATAGTGGACCCTGGGTCTGGAGAGATGGCTCAGTGGTTAAGAGCACTGTCTGCTCTCCCAGAGGTTCTGAGTTCAATTCCCAGTAACCACATGGTGGCTCACAGCCATCTATAGTGTGATCTGATGCCCTCTTCTGGTGTGCAGGTGTGCATGAAGACAGAACACTCATATACGTAAAAAGAAATACATCTTAAAGAAGAAAGAGAGAGAGAGAGAGAGAGAGAGAGAGAAGAAAGAGTACCCCACTCCCAGGCTTGTCGGGATCACATGCCAGCCAGGGAAGCAGCCATCTTTACAGTAAAGGGGCAAAATGAAGAGTCTGTAAACTACCTTTGCTGTCAATCAGTTTCGTTGCTAAGATACCTCTTTGCTCTTTGACTCAGCCAACTTAACTCCTGCCAGAAGCTCCTGCCCACTTCCTGCTGGCTGAGTCCCCTTCTGTGTCCCAAGGACAGCAGTTGGGCCTCTATTCCACCCCCATCAGTGGCTCTCTTCATTCTCCTCCCTTAGAAGGAGTTGCAACAGAACCACAGTCTCCTGGGCCCCCTGCCCATGCTCTGGGTGCACACAGGGACGCGCTCACCTTCTTTGTCCCATACATGACCTCCATGAACTTTTCATCCGCATCCTGAAAGCGCTGATCCAGGAAGGAGCTTGTTTTCCGTACCAGGGTCCACATCATGTAGTTGTTGAGCAGGCTGTGGTGACAGGACCAGGGAGAGCTCAGAGACCCGGGGTAGCATTCACACTCAGTATCTGACCTAGGCGCTTCTCCAGCCTGCCCGTGCGACTGCTTACCACTCTCTAAGGACGGGGAACATGAGCTCTTCAAGGGGAAGCCCAGCTCTTCCGCCACAGAAAACCCTAGGTGTCCAGTGCAATCACTTGTATGCCATTGGTACTCAATAAATGCCACTGCTTGGTTTTTCCATCCAAGCTAGAAGGAGGATGTTCCCATGGCCAGCTAGGCTCAAGGGTCCATGGTTGGCAGCTCCTTGGGGCACAGGAGCTATGCACAGCCTATCTGTGGCTGCTGCCATGCTTGTAAAGAGGTCACCTTAGCACAAAGACGTCCATTTAACCTAAACACCTGACAAGGGAAAGGCAAACAAAGAAACACAGGGGATCCTCTGAAGCCAGGAAGAGGCTTGCAGAGAGTTGGGATGTTGTGAGGGAAGATGACAAAGGCCATTGAAAAGGACCCAGTCCCGATGACAGGGAATGCCACATATCAGGGAACCTCTGTTGTGTGCACATACGAACACATGTACACACATCCTCAGAGCTCCTTTCCCCTATACTTTCCGACATTTCTGCCTTTAAAATCTAAAAAGTGTCACAGGGTACTAACTGAAACTAGTACCTAGCATTTACTGGGATGCTGTACTTGTCAGCTCTACCCTCTCTTGGCTCTCAGGGAAGGATGAGAAACTTGTCCTGAGGCTACAAAGCGATGAGAGGAGGAGCTGGGATTCGAACCTGTAGTCATAACCAGGAGCCTCGCACAGATGCCCACCAGGGGCCCCTTTTCTGTCCCCACCCTGCCTGAGGGTAGGGCCGCCAGCCTGGGTGCTGTCCCAGACGACCTGGTCCCCTCTGCACCCGCCTGTCGCCTTTACCATTTGTCTGTGTTGTTGATGAGGGTGGAGACTTGCACCAGGTACTCCTTGTCGTAGACCACGATGGGCTCCGTCTCGTTGATCTCCACTGGGTAAAAAATGCTGTTGAGGAAGGGTAACCAGTTGATGGCAGGTGCCAAGGTCTGCAAGGGAAGAGGGCAGTGTGAGGCCGGCCAGGCCACTTCCCCGGGTCTCTGGGCCATTCCTCAGATGAAGGAACCATCATCTCCTGACTAGTAGCAGATACAATGCTGTCTGCCAGAGCTCGGGGCAGAGCCTGGGCTGGCCGGCCAGTTTCCATCTGCAGCAGTCTAAGGAGAAGGTGACAAATCTTCATTGGAGGGGCTGGGTTGGTGACTTGTTGCTCTTTCAGAGAACCCAGGTTTGGTTCCTAGCACCCATGTCAGAGAGCTCACAACCACCGGCAGCTCCAGTTCCAGGCGATCCAACGCCTTCCTCTGCGAGCATCTGCACACACAGGCACACACCCCAACACACACATACACACGAGTGAAAACTAAAGAGACAGCACTTGAAAGTCGGTGCAGCTGAAGCTAGCACGTAGGAGGCAGATACAGACAGATTCTATGAGTTTTAGGCCAACCTGGTCTACAGCTCAAGTTTCAGGCCAGCCTGGGCTACATGGTGAGACCCTCTCTCAAAATAAGTAAATAATAAAAAGTAAAAAACAAACAAAAAAACAGGGATAACTGTCCCTTCCCCTCAGGCTTTCATGAGGAGCAGCTCAGACCATTCTGAATAACACGTATGAAATCTTTTCCAATACATGTGCCATGCACGAGGGGCTTGGTGGATGACAGCCACCTCTGTGTCTTCCCTAGTTTCGTTGTAATTCCACTTCAAAAAAATAGCAGGAACCTCATTTGAAGTGCTCGGATTAAAGGCATGTACCACCACATCTGGCTAGCCCCAATTTAAAACTTACATCTATTTATTTGGGTATGTGTGTATGCCACAGTATGTGTGTGGACAGCTTGAGGGAGTCAGTTCTCTCCTTTTTCCACTAAGTGGGACCCAGAGACCCACTCAGGTCGTTAGCTTGGTGCGAGCACCATTACCTGCTGAGCCCACCTCACCAGCTCTGTATCATCGCCTTCATATTTTTTTTTCCCCAACAAAGTATCACTATGTAGACCAGGTGGGCCTTGAACTCGCTGCGATCCTCCTGCCTCTGGTGGGACTGTACCATCATGCCAGGCTCATCCTAAGCATGATTGAGTCCAGCTGTGTGGCATTAGCCATTCACTGTTTTACTGCCATCACACCCTCCCCCCATCCAGCCTCAGTTTCCCTGCATCTTGCCAGGTGGAAGAATTCTCCTCCCTACTTGCCAAGTCCCTGTCTGGTGGAAACCACCCACTCCATCTTAAATCTACTTCCCCAAGAACCTCAGATAAACAAAGACAGTCTCTGTTCTTGTATTTTCTTCTTGTGATGCTTGGGATTGAACCCGAGGCTTTGCCCATACCAGGGCAATGCTCTTTCACTGACCTGTCCCCTTGCTTCCCAGCCCCCAAGGCTTGCCCTTTTGTAGCTGGCTGACTTCACTTAGCACAGCGTCCCCAAGCAGGGTTGCACAACTTTGGAATGGGCAGCCTCAGCCCCGTGTCACCCACATGTCCTGTTATTTTTAGTATGTTACTTTTCAGAACTTGAGGTCTTTCGGGGCGACAGAAACTGTGTTTCAACAAAGATGCCCATCTGCAGCAGTGCATCATGGGAACCTGGCTCTTAGCAACCCAGCCATCAATGGCAGCCATTCCAATCATTATTCAAGTGCTGTTTCGAGGGGCCTCAACCCTGAGGAATGTCAAATTCTGTTCTCGTTTCCCTTGAAGAAGTAGAAAACGCCCAGCAAATAAAGGAATCGAGAGACATTTGTGCTGTAAAAGCCCCTCCCATGGGAAAAGTCAGGTGATAGAGAGCAGCCTGTCCTCAGGGACATTGGAGGCCAGCAGTAACTTTCCGAGGTCCCATGTCAGCTGGAGCCTGGTGGGTCTATAAAGCGAGTTCAGGCAACCTCTGGATTTATTTGCTTGTTGGCAGTGTTGGGGACTGAAATCAGCCTTCCACATGCTAAGCACGTAGGCTACACCCCTAGGCTTCTGGGCTTCAAAGAACATCTCAGCTTCTTCAGGAGAGAACTGGGAGGGCAGATATGAGGCTGAGGGTGTGTCAGGCTCCCAAAGGCACCACTGGGAGCTGGTTAAAGCTACTAGCCATTTCTCAGCAAGGGGCTGATCTGTGCCCTTGATGGTGGGTGTTCCCACCGAGGCTGACTATACTGGGCTGGAAACTGAACAGCACGGTGGGCAGGGAGCCAGCATGCCACAATACATCCCTGCTGCCCGGGAGTGAGAGAGGTGTGAGCTGGGAGTGAGCAGACCTGATGGAGTCCCCGGCAGGAACCAACCAGCTCATGGACTGAGAGTCACTTCACAGCTTTTCTCTAAAGCCGTGTCCCCTGCCTGCTCTGTCCATTGGAAACAGCCTGCCCTGTACCAAGCATCCTTGTTGCCTGGCTCGTCCTCCCTGCCCTCCTCCTGACAGATCCTCTGCCTTCAAGTGGCTAGGAAGTTGAGAGCTTCATAGGGCTCAGTCATTAGAGCCACATGATGTCAGGGTCCTCTGGCAAAGACCTGGGGAAACGGATACGTTTACAAATGTCACTGCTCACATAATCTGCAAGAACCACGCGTCACCGGAGCGCTCCGAGAGAGCTATCAAGGGTGAAGATCTACACGACCTGTTCCTATAGAGTGAGCAGATGTTCCCAGTGAGACGTGCCCTGGCTCTGAGGTGAGGAGCTGTGTGTGGACACTGGGGTTTTCAAATTTCCAGCCTCAGTGATTCCTAACTTAACATGTTTCCATGGAGATGGCTGTTTCAGTCAACTGGGACATTCTGCTGTGACTCAGCCTCCCCCCCCCCCCCCCCCGGACACTGGTGAGCTCTATTTTCCACACTTGAAGCCAAGGAGCCCTGCTGGGTTCCAAGCAACTCAAAGAGAGGGAAGAGAGGGAACTGCGGAGACACGCACATCTACAATCCTGGCACTGGGGAGGTTGAGACAGGAGGATGGTCAGTTTGAGGCCAGCCTGTGTTGTATGAGACCCTGTCTCAAGACCACCAAGGCTGAGGGCGCGATCTGGACATCTATCTCATTTATGGCTTGATCTTGTACAGGGACAAGGACCAGTGTCTTCTGGGACTCATGAACTGTCTGCAGCTGTGGCCGCAGGCCCAAGATCAAGGCAGCCAACATGGATGTGGAGTGAGAGGGGCTCCCAACCTCCAGCTCTAGCTGGAGAGAACTGACAGCTGATGGCTTCTGGAAGAGGGCATCAGTTTTCTTTAAGGATTTGACCCCCGTGGATGGTCCACACCTATGAGGACATGGGCAACACAAGTTGGGTTTGGTGGGTTATTAAAAAGAAGAGGAAGAAAATGATGATGACGACATGAAGTTGGAACAGGTGAAGGGTGGATCTGAGGAGTTAGGGTGAGGAGAGGATAAATTTGATCAAAATACATTGTTGGACGTGGTGGCGCATAACTATAAACCCAGCACTTTGGAGACGGAAACAAGTGGATGCCTGTGAGTTTAAGGTCGGCCTGGTCTACATAGCAAGTTCCAGAGTATGTAGTTTGAGGCTAGCCTGTGCTAGCTGTATATATGGGTCTGAAGAAGAGTCTCAGTGGGTAACAGCACCCTCTTCTGGACTCTGTGGGCAATTGCAATCATGTGCACATTAAAGGGGACATACATATATACATACACAGACACAGTTTAAAAGCAATAAAAATATATCTTTAAAAAACAAACAATGACTGAGATGTAGCTCAGTAGTAAAACAGTCACCTAGCTGTGCAGTGCTCACTGGAAGTAAAATAGAACAAAGAAGCCAGGAGTGGTGGCACACGCCTTTAATCCCAGCACTCCAGAAGGCAGAGGCAGGCGGATTTCTGTGAGTTCGAGACCAGACTGGTCTACAAAGTGAGTCCAGGACAGCCAAGGCTACACGGAGAAACCCTGTCTCCAGGGTTTGTTGAAAAAACGAACACAATAAAACGACAACAACAACAACAACAAAAACAGAACAAAGATATTCTAAAGACTCCATTCCTGATGGGAGGCAGGCAAAGGAGGGCGCGCACTCCCCGATAACTTTTGGGAGCGCCTACGAAGGAAGGGAAAGGAGTCTGGAGAAGCAATGCTGGACGCCTGACCACAGCACCAAATCCAGCCTCTACCCCGGGCTAGCCTGGAGCCATCTGGTACAGCAGCAGGGCTAGCTGAGAGCCACGCCGTGAAGCTGGCGATGCCAGAATTTGGAAAGAAAACAAGTCTTCAGCTTTCAGAGAAGATGCTCTGTGCTAAATTAATTGTCCTCATTTTCGTGCGGGAGAGTGGGCACACGGGGCAGGACACACCTAGGTGGCGTGGCTAGTCGGCCTTGCACGTGCTCACTCCTCCGCCTCATCACACCCCGTGGGCGGGTGGGGAGAGAGGCCTCTTCCAGCCTCCTGGGATTCAGGGCTTCCCTAAGGCTAGACATGTTTTCTGCTGGCTAACATTCCCTAGCAGCTGTCCTCCAAAGACCTTGAGAGTTAAAGTGGATAATCGCTGTCCCTTGGATGGGCAGGATCTGTATCCCATTTACCTCTGTGTTCCAACCCAGAGCAGGGCTCAGAGGATGGGCCATGTGCTTCTTCAGCGGGAAGGAGGCTTAGGCTCGAGGGCTTGAGTCATGTGGCCTGCATCAGCTCACACAGCCTCGCATGGAGTAGGGCAGGGCCATATTTGGAGGCCACACCCAGGCTAGCACCTTTAGGTTGCTGCCTCGAAAGGCCCCCATTTTGACGCAGCATCGAGGAGCAGGGGATGCAGACCAGTCACCTCTCCCTTCCCTTATTCTGTGGAAGAATAACCCAAAAGTCCAGCTGTGGCCCAGACTCTGCTGACATTGCTGGTGCGCTCAGGGCATGGTGCCCCCTATACCATTCCCGGCACCAATCTCACCGTCAGATTACTGTGAGGCCCCCATGGCTAACACCCGCAAGGCTGGAGCAATCCAAATCATGCCACGCAAACAACACCTCCCTCAACCTTTTAGCCTCAGAAAAGGAAAACAATGCCAGATGGTGCCCAACACAGACTACCCGTCTCCATAACAACCGGCCGGGCACCACCTCCCCTCAGAACCTGCAGGCAGCTGGCAGCTGCGGGAGGCCCAAGTGGGCTATGGCTCCTCCTGGGACTCTTAGGGCCCAGCTTTAGTGTGCCAACCATTAGACTTGAGCCCAGATCAAGGGCCCAGCCTTTCTTCCCGCAAAGCCCTTGGTAGAGAGACATGGACTGTTTCCTAGTGGGAGGCTAGCTGAAAGCACGGAGAGCAAGCCCATGTGTACCTGAAGGAAGGCACATATCAAATTAGCATACCTTCTGAAGAAAGGATGGGCAGACAAAAGCTGTCTGGACAGATGGGAGGACTATAAAAGCATGGTGGTGAAACTTTGACACAGACATGGTGTCCTTCCTGGGGTAAAAGCAAGGCTCAGTCAACAATGCCACCTCCCTCCTGCCTTGGGGGCCTAAGACAAGGCTGGACAGCAAGACTGGCCATAAAGGAGGTACCAGCAGGTCATCAGCTGAGGAGCCCTGAGCCCCAAGCCGCCACCAGGGGGCAGCCCAGGATGGGGGTGACTACAGAAGAGCTTGCAGGCCTCTAGCTCTGGTCCCACCAAACAGAGAAGGTCTGAGTAAAACCACACAGGGCGCGGTAGCAGCACTCGGGAGGCAGAAGCAGGCAAGTGTGTCACAGGCAAGACCAGAGCTCCAGGGAGCCAAGCCTGAGTCCCAACCAGCTCCACTGCCACTTAGGAGCCTCTGGGCCCTAACCATGTTACTCAGCTGCCCTGCTTGGAAAAGGCTGGGGGTGTGGCTCAGTTGGTGTAATGCTCACCTAGCAAACAGGAAGCCCCGGGTTCATCCCCAGCACCCCATTAAAAAAAGGTGAGGTGGATGGTGGTGGCACATGCATTTAACCCCAGCTCTTGGAGGCAAAGGCAGGTAGATTTCCGAGTTTGAGGTCATCCTGTTCTATAGAGCAAGTTCCAGGACAGTCAGGGCTACACAGAGAAATCCTGCACACACACTCCCCCCCCCAAAAAAAAGTGACATGGTGGGGTATACCTGTAATCCCAGCCTTTAGAGATAGAGGCAGGAGAATTGGAAGTTCAAGGTCATCCTTGGCTAAATAGTGAGTTCAAAGGCAGTCTATGGTACATAATACCCTATCTGAAACACTAACGTAAAATAAACTTTGTAGTTCCCCCCTCCCCCACCTGAGACAGGGTTTCTCTGTGTAGCCTTGGCTGTCCTGGACTACTTGCTTTGTAAACCAGGCTGGCCTCGAACTCACAGAGATCTGTCTGCCTCTGCCTCCTCGAGTGCTGGGACTACAGGTGTGTGCCACCATGCATGGCTGTACGAATTTTTTAAAAGAAAAGAAAAGAAACAAAGAAGGAAGGAAAGAAGGAAGGAAAGGGAAACACTATAGCCCACAGCTCTGCAGTGCTCCATTACCAGGACGGGGCACACGGTGCACGAGAGGACGAAGATACTCCATTTGAGGGAGCTGTAACCACCCACAGTCTCCAGGAAACGTCTCAGAGAGCAGCCTTGACACCCCTTCCTGCCCTGCGATCTTTACTGTGTGAGGCTCCCGCCCTGAACCTGTCTTTCAACCTGTAGCCAGGTAGATCAACGCCCTCCTTCACCAGGCAGCTTCTGGGATCTGAAGCCGGGCCCTGATGACCAGCCCCTGAGGCATCATTCAACTTACCTGCAGCTCGGCAGCCGTGACTTTGTGGTAGATGAGTTCCTCGTCCCGGCGCTTCTCCTGGGGGATGGTGATATTGGCCAGGGCTGTCTCGAAGTCCAGGATCTGCTGCATCTGGGGCCGGATGGAGTCCTCGTCCCCACCGCCCAGCAGCTTCCCCAGCTGCACCATGTAGTTCAGGTACTCCAACAGCACCTGTGGGACCCCCGGGCACTGTTGGCGGCAGCCAGCCCCTGTCCTCTGTGCTAGAGGAGGGCAGGACAGGCTGCAGCCGGCACACACAGCCAAGGGGAGACCAGTTCTACCCAGAAAAACCCACATTTAATTGTACTCGGAAAGGGTCTCAGTGTGTAGCCCTGGCTGGCCTTTAACTCACAGAGATCCACCTGCCTCTCCTTCCCTAAAATGTATGCCTGGTCTGCTATTCCCCCCCCCCCCCCCCCCGGGTTTCTGTGTAGCCTTGGCTGTCCTGGATGTACTATGTAGACCAGGCTAGCTTTGAATTCAAAGAGATCCTCCTGCCTCTGCCTCCTGAGTGCTGCTGCCGTGCCCTGTAATGGAAGTTTTGGTTTCTTTAAAAACTCAGTTTTGTTACCTAAATATGTTTTTATTTTAATCCCAAGTGTGGGATTTTGGTCTGGCCTTTAGTTTGTCCACAGCTGATAAGTGCCCCCTGCGGGGTTTGGTCTTTGCCAGCTGGTCATAGCCTGCCTTGTGCAGCACAGAGAGGGGCCAGGCCTAAGACTCTCAGAAAGATAAATAAGAGAGGCTGGAGAGAGAAAAGGGGGCCTATGGCAGTCTGGAGAGATCAGAAACAGACAGTATGGTGGCTTGGACAGACAGAGAGAAATGGTTCAACACAGCAGCTTGGAGGAGACTGCTTGCTGTTTGCTGTTGAAGGAGATTGGTATAGCCCCCAAAGAACACATCGCCCCTAAACAGCTGGGAGTAGTAAAGGGGTCTGCGTCTCCTCTCCCCACTAACCTTCCCTCTCCTACCTGGGTTGAGGGTTTGGAAGGAAGAAGCTTTAAGAAACCCCAAGTAAAATAGAGTTTAAAAATGAATGTCAGTGGCGTCCGGCTTTGTTTTTCTGTATTTAAGATAAGGTTTTACTCTGTAGCCTAGGCTGGCCTGGAACTCATGGCAATTCTCCTGCTCCGGCCTCCCAGATGCTGGGATTCCAGGCATGTGCCACCTAGCCCTGATTCTGTCCTGTTTCATGCTGTCCGTCCACTGGCTCCTCACAGCCCTCAGGACTGCGCTGAAGTGCTTCCACAGGTCCCAGGGTGGGCCACCCTGCTGCGTGTGTGCATGATGAGTGATGGAGGGTACATGCCCCATGGTGTGTGTGTGCAGAGGTCAGAGGTCACCTTTTGGACTCAGTGGGTTCTGGAGATTGAACTCGTGTTGCCAGGTTTGTGCAGCAAGCCTCTGCCTGTTAAGCCATCTCACTGGCCCAATTTCTATTCTTTTATCAAACAACCTGCCACTGTGGGTCCCCTGATCCGACTTAAACCGCTAGGGGTATTAATGTTCTTCAGCGGCCCCTCCACTAATAGTGTGAGGCCAAGCCTCTGACTGGGTGATCAGTTAAGTGAAGGCCCCGGGACCATCGCCTCAGCATTGGGCACAGGTGGAAGAGTGGAAGGCCTCAGGAGTGAGCCTCAGGCCAGGATTCCCCAAGGGCATCACAGGCACGAAAGGTTCTGGAGGAGCTGGCTCCAGGTGTGCAAACTGGCCTCACACTTTGATGGCTGTGTGACCGTGAGCAGTCACTGGGTATCTGTCAGTTTGACAGTGGGGAAGCCCACAGAAGGCCTAGGACCTGCGAACAGTGAAGGCTGCCACCACTATCTTCTTTTTTTTTTTTTTTTTTAACCACTATCTTCTTTAGAGAATGGATAAAAGATGCCCCCTGAGCCTGCAAAGCTTGACCGTGACTAGGGAGGTTTGGGGACACCCCTCTCCCCTCCCCCAAGGGCTGCCTTTAGGAAACCGAGCTCAGTGTCTGAGGCAGCTCAGGAGTGCTGTGTGGGCACAGCAGGGCAGGCTGGGCAAGCTCACCATCTTATTTTCCGTCTTGTTCAGGTAATAGTCTCTAGAGGGCAAGCCGAGGCCGGACTGGTCCACCTGCAGAGAGACGGGGTGAGAGGGGGGCTCCTTGCCTGGCTGCCACCTTCCCTGGGGCAGGTTCCAGCAGGAACAGGAGGAGGAGACGATAGCCACCATCACCAACACATCCACCCAGGGACCAAAGATGGGACAGGGCAGTTGCCTAACTACAGGGACTTGGGTTCTTCTGAAGGGCTGGAAAACCTCTTTAGACAACTCCTGGCCTAGATAAAACATGATTTCACACAACAGTGTCCATGAGGTTCGAGCTACCCCAAGATGTATGATCATGGTGAAGTTACTAAAAATTTTTTTAAAAGCTTTATTTACTTATGTAGATGAGTGCTCTATCTGCGTGTATACCTACATGCCAGAAGAGGGCATGAGATCTCATTACAGATGGTTGTGAGCCACCATGTGGTTTTCTGGGACTTGAACTCAGGACCTCTGGAAGAAAAACCAGTGCTCTTAACCATCTCTCCAGCCCGTTCCTAAACCTTTCTGATCCTCTGGTTCTTCTGCTGGAAAATAAGGGGAACAATAGCTACCCTGAAGAACTTGGAATGGGTACTTGGAATTGGCATTGTGGAGACGATGGTGGTAAAGAGCCTTCTGAGCGTTGGGTGGGGAGGAGAGGTATGTTCCAGAACCACAGAGGCCTTCTGGTCCCATCCGGACATCCCTCATCCCAGCGGGAGTTATGATAGTGCACTTGGTTGACAAGGAAAGCACGGTTCAGAGGCCGAACCACTTGCCTAAGGTCACACAGCAAGTGGGTACCGTGGACGGGTGAGGTGAAGGCAGGGAGAGACAGGCTCAGATCCCCTCCAGGCAGAGCCACAAAGGCCAGGGGCTGAGGCAGGGGAGTGGGGTGTCCTGGTCACGTCCACCCACCTGGATCACATTGCTGTTGGAGTTCTTGGAGTCGGCGCTGACGTACACGGAGAAGAAGGGTGAGGTGCGGTAGTTCGAGGTGACCACCTGCAGTGTCTCCTGAAAGTTGTCCTTGGCCCACGGGCCTGTGATATTCCAGCCTCCAAGCTGCGGGGAGAGAGCAGGCAGCGGTGGTGCGTGTGCACGAGGATGTGTGTGTGTGTGTGCGCGCGCACGCATGTGTGTGGGCCTGTGGCGAGCTACTTCGAGAGCCCTATGCAAATCACAGAGCTACATGCTCTATGACCCTGGAACAGTCAGTCCTTTGATCTCTCTCTCTCCCTCTCTCTCTTTCTAAACCTCCAGACAGGGTTTCTCTGTGTAGCCCTGGCTGGTCCTGTAGACCAGGCTGGCCTCGAACTCACAGAGGACTACCTCGGCCTCCGGAGTGCAGGGATTAAAAGTGAATGCCACCACACCCAGCCACTTATCCTTAAGTGTGCTAAGAGCACACAAGGCTGCTGCTCCCACATGGCTAGGATGGAGATGGACTGAGACTCTGCCATGGAGACAGTTTTTTGAGTCACACAGTGATACTAAAACACAATTCCAGGGGCTGCAGAAATGGCTCAGCGGTTAAGAGAACTGTCCGCTCTTCCAAAGGGCCTGAGTTCAGTTTCCAGCGACCACACAGTGGCTCACAACCATCTGTAATGAGATCTGGTGTCCTCTCCTGGTGTGTATACATACATGCAGGCAGAGTACTGTATAATAAATAAATAAGTCTTTAAAAAAGAAAACAATTCCAAAGGTGTCTATGGGGAAAAGGCTCTTTGTTCTGAAAAAGGCTGAGAAGTTGTCTTGTCTTGCAAACTGACAGTAAGCGGCTGCCCCGCAAACATGGAAGCCCAGTGCCCACAATAAAAGCCTCATGCACACTTCTGAGCCCAGTGCTGCAGCGAATGGAAGGATCACGAGAGCAAGCTGTCGATCAGCCTAGCTCCACGTTCAGTGAGGAGACCCTGTCTCAGGGAAGAAAGAAAAAGAGTGACAGAGCGGGACACCTGATGTCCTCCTCCGCTCTCGTGTGCCCAACAAACACACACGCATACAAACACACACACACACACACACACACACACACACACAATTTGGTCCTTGCTAGCTTGGCACGTGCTGGCCCATGGGACCTGTGCAAGAGAGGAGGGATAGATACCGTCCCAGGGTCACCAACCCTGCTGCAAGCCCTTCTGCAGGGTGGCTGGGGGCAAGAGACCAGCAATGTAGCTCGGTTGGCAGAGTCTATATCTCGCATGCACAGGGCCCTGGGCTCAGTCTCCAGCACTGCATAAAACAGGCACAGTGGCATATGCCTACAGTCTCAGCACTCAGCAGGTCAAAGCAGTAGGGTCAGAAGCTCAAGGGTCCTTGGCTACACCGGGAGTTTGAGGCCAGCCTGGGCTATGTGAACACACCACACACACAAAGCAAAGAAGAAATGGATGAACGACTTCTTAGCAATTATCAGGGTCCTCCTCCTGCAGAGAACTATTTTTGACCCAAGAATCTAGGGTGCTTCTGATCCGGCACGGCCCTCCCAGGACTAGAACAGCAGCAGAGACGGGGCAGTCAATACGGTCCCTGTCCCCACCTAGACATATGCAGGCATCTCCCCAGCAGAAGCAGCCACACCCTATCCCATCCTCACACACAGACCCACCCACGTGGAGCCATGCACACACATGCTTGGGCAACCCCGACACCCGAAGCAGACAGATGGCTCGGAGTTCCAGCTGGGTGTGGCGGCTGGAGGTGTGAGGCGGCTGAGAGCCAGGGAGGGGGCTGAGCAGAGGGAGGCGGTGGAGTCCAACAGAGCACCCACCTTCTCAATCAGCTCCATCAGGGGCTTGGCCCGAAGCTCCTCGATCCTAGTTTCATTCATACACGCACGGTAGTACACCTGGGCCTTCCTCTCTGCCTCGCTCACGCTGGCCGTGGAATTCTCTAGAATATCAAGAAAGAACAGAGTTGTGTCCCAACTGGGTTGTGTCCTTCCAGGTCCCCGGCACTTCCAGCTGTACAAAAAGCACAACGATAACTACTGTCCACAGAGGAGCCTTGTGTTGCTCAGGTGTGAGGGCCTTCTCTCTGGGCAGAGCTGACAAGACCGGGGGTGTCTCCGGCCTTGCAGATGTTCCTGGAATGGCAATGTGTGCTTTGCTGGATAGTTTTGTGTCGGTTTGACATAAGCTAACGTCAGTTGAGAAAAGGCCTCCATTAAGATCTTTCAGTATAGCATTTCTTAATTAGTGATCAATAGGGGAAGGTCCAGTGCATTGTGGGTGGTGCCATCCCCTGGGCTGGTGGTCCTGGCTGAGCAAGCTATGAGGAGCAAGCCAGTAAGCAGCACCCTCCCCCCACGGCCTCTGTATCAGCTCCTGCCTCCAGGTTCCTGCCCTGAGTTCCTCTATTGATGAACAGTGATATGGAAATATAAGGCAAATGAGCCCTTTCTTCCCCAACTTGCTTTTAGTCATGGTTGTTTCATCACAGCAATAGTAACACTGACTAAAACATGTGCCTACCAGGAGGACGGCTGGCTTCCCCAGCCGCATCCTCTGCCTGGAAGGTGGGCACCCTGCCACGGTTGTCAGATCCCAGATGACCTTGCCAGGGAGAAAGGCAGCAATCAGAAGAGCTTGAAAGACTTCATTCATTAGGAACTGACTTCCTGCTTCCTCCCAAGAGGGCTAGACATGTTTGCCAGACTTACAGATGGCTCAAAGGGCTGTTTTCCACGCCAGGGCCTTATCTCATCCTACTTGGGCAGGGGGGTGCTTAGGGCTTCCCAGGCACCCAGGAGCCTCTCTCCCCTCCCCCTCCTCAGCTCCTGTGCTGTATGCCACCTGCTGAAGGCCACATGCATGCACATGTGTGGCCTTGAAGGTTCCTGCTGCCCCCAAGGTAGCCACACTACTAAGTGCTGCTCAGGCCCTCAAGGGGCCTACCATGCGCCAAAGCTCCAGTGTCCGAGCAAACACACAAACACACATGTAAACACATGTGTTTACACATACACACACACCTGGAGACCCTGGGGAAACACCTGTGAGGCCCCAGGTCCCAAGGGAGTGATGGGATGAGGCCTCTTGTAGAGGGAGGAAGGAAACAGAAGAGCCTGAGCCTCAAGCTTGAGATGCAAAGAAGCAGGGATGGGAAGGGGGAGTGGCCCACACCCAGGGCCTCATCTCCATGGCAACACTTCCCAAGAGCTCAGCTCTCAGAAGGGAAAGCAGATCCGCCAGGTGTTGGCCAGGTCAAGAAGGAAGCTGTCTCTCCCATCCACACCTGGCTCTGGCCATGACCCTAAGAGGGGAGGGCCAGCATTAGGGGTAGAACTCTGTGACCAAGAATGAGTCTGGTATGTGTTTTCCTCAGGGCCCCAAGGCCACCCAGATAAGAGAGCTAAAGACAGGCTCCCCAGGGACAGCCTGGCTGTGCTGGTCACAGTGTGTCCTGAGTTCCAGCTGGAGGCCACCGACTCCCTTGCCCTGGCATCTGGAGAGAGAGAAAACACTTGCTTGAGGAACAGCTGCCCTCTCACCTTTGCTGCAAGGCTTCCCTGACCAATTTCAGTTTCTGCGGCCATGCTCGTGGCTCTCCCATAGCTAACCGTTCAGCTCCCAGGGTTGGCAGCTGCCAGTCTGAGTGTAAGAGATGTATGGGTGAGACAGCCACCAGTGACAAGAGCATCTAAATATCCACGGGGATAGAAACTTCAGATAGTCCAGGAGGACGGCAAGAAGAAGCCCTTGCTCTAGCTTCAGGCTGACGAGAATCATGAGCAGGGGGTGTGGGGCCTCACATTCTGTATCTTTGTCATCTTTGCGTCCCTCAATCACATGTGCTAAAACAGCAGGCTCAATGTTCACGTAGAATAGTAAGGCAAAACGTCCTATGGTGGGGGGTGATACGTGAAGGGCCCTGGCAAGCCTGTGCATGGCAACCACAGGCCCGAACACGGCAAAAATGGTGCCAGTGGGGTTTGCCCACCCCCCTGCCTTCTTGCTCGTTAAACCGTTAGATCACATTCCTAAGGCTAGCCCCCAAAGTCTATTCCCTTATTTGGCCACTGACTCCTTCCTGAGACTAGACACTAAGGTCCAACAATCAAAAAGTCCCGAAAAACAAAAACAAACATACCCCATCTGCTTTGGCCACTTTGTCTGACACAGAGGCAGACCCTCACCCTCCCACCTAGCTTGCCCATCTGGAGTAATAAATCTTTGAGCTGAGAATGTGGGTGTGTCCTGCACTGACTCTGAGGGGCCTCCAACCCCTACAATAAGGCCAGTGCCAGGCTGAAACCCAGAAGGAGAGGAAGGGTGGCAGAATTCGTGGGCGCAGTGTGGGGACAGGCATTCACATCTCTGCCAGGCAGATCTCACCCGTGTGCCAGGGTTGACCCAGCTGGGGCAGACGTTCCAGGATGGATGAGGTACACCAGCCGCCTCCTCCCTCCTCATTCAACAGGGGCTACTACCCTGCCAGCTCCAGAGGGCCCTAACTGAATCAGCTTAGCCATACAGAGCTAATTGGGGAATTGGCCCAGCTGGTACAGCGCCTGCTATGTAAGCATGAGGACCCGAGTTCAGATCCACTCTAAGAGCTGGGTAGAGCTGTACAAACTTGCAACCGCAATGCCAGAGGGCAGGGCTGGGGGCATGGAGACAGGTGGATCCCTCAAGTTAATCGGCCAGCCAACCTAGCAGAATCAATGAGCTCCAGGTGCTGAGAGACCCTGACTAAAAAAAAAAAAAAAAAAATATGTAGAAAGCTTTGGTGGAAAACACCTGACCTTGCCCTCTGGCCTCGGGAAAGCGACTTGAGCACTAGGCTGGGCTTCTTCAGCAGCTGCTGCTACTGACTGGGCTGGAAAAGCCAGGAGAACATTCTCGGGGCGAGGAGACCCCCCCAGGGCTTCAGCAGCGTAGGGACCAGACAGCAGAGTTTCCAATTGCCTACTTACTTCCTTCCAGGGACCCCATGTTCCAGAAACTCCTGCAGTCACTTCCCCCAAAGTCCCAGAGAGGAAAGACGGCACACGTTTAATCATTTTTACCTCTGGGAGTTTTTCTTGGATCCCTTTCTCACATCGCTCCTGGCATTAGGAAGCAAACGCCCAGGCAGCCAGGCAGAGGCTGAGATGAGCTGCAGGAACAGGGCGCCTGGGAATTCCTCAGTCTCCCTGGCTACCTCGGCATTGTCTGGGCAGAAGCGTGTGGGGCCAGGAGTCTCCATCAGGCAAGGCCAGTGTTTGTTTTAGATAAACCACAGACTCAGTTCAGCCAGCTCCAGGCCTCAGGAGGGAGAAGAGGGGCTGATAAAAAGAGGCGCCTGGTCTTTGGGACAACACCATTGTTACTTCCTGGTGCCGAGCAGAGTGCAGGGCCGGGCCTGTATCTCATCACCACACAACACAGAAAGATGGATGTGGTGTTACACGGCCAAAGAGAAGGAAGAGGAGGCCAGGGAGGAAAGGAGCCTGCTGGCAAAGGCACATCAACTAATGAGCACGCTGGAGTCTGAACCCAGGCGTTCTCGTAAGCCTTCCTGAGAAAGCAGGCTGGCTCTCCGCGTGTGGGTGTGGCCATGTGTGCAACTTGTCATAACATTCCCTACAGTGGCTCTTACTTGGCTCCAACCCAATTTGTAGGCAAGTGTGACTAATCCAAGGTCACGTAAGTAAAGTGGCTGAGGCCAGGACTGGTGCTCTAGTCTCTCTGTTTTCTTGTTCCTTCTTGCCAGTCAGTATGTGGAAAAACCAGGCCAGAAGACAGTCCATCCACACTCACCCCCCTAAGAAGTCCTGGACCCACCTCCCTGCCTGGATCATCAAATCCACCAAAACCATCCAATAATGCAAGTGGACCTACTGCTGCAGACACTACTCCAGGAGGAAGTGTTTGCAAGGCAAATGGAGGGCAAGGGGAAACTGAGACAGTAAATATTGGGAAAACGTAATCAAAACGAAAATGAGACAAGGGATGATGCTATTCATGCCCAGTCACCGACATAAACTCACTTCATGAGAACTGAATGTTCTGGTATCGGGGATACAAGAAAGGAGGGAGGACAGCTATCTTCTCACTCCCACACATTACCCCATATACCACCCCACCCCCCAGCTCTGGTACTGCGGGTGGACCCTGGGGCTTGTGCATGCCAGGCAAGCACGCTTTCCCAGCCCCGACAGATGACCGTTCTTTATGGAATTTTCAGTTGTCACAATAAGCTTGCCTTTAAGTATTTTTCTTTGTTTTGCTTTTGAGACTGGTTCTCATATAGCCTAAGCTGACCTTGAACTTAATATACAGCAAAGGATGGCTTTGAACTCCTGATCTTCCCGCCTCTGCCTCCAGAATGCTGAAATTATAGGAACACACAGTGCCCAGCTTTATGCTCTCATTTTAAAAGATGCTTTAAGTCAGAGACCCGATACACCAACCAAGGACCATTCATGGAGAGGACCTAGACCCCCTGTTCAGAGGAAGTCCATAGGCTGCTCAGTTTGCAAGTGGGTACCCTAAAGAGGAGTACAGGGGCTGTCTCTGATATGAACTCAGAGGCTGGCTCTTTGATCACCTCCCCCTGGGGGGAGGTGCAGCCTTGCCAGGTCACCAAGGGAGGAAGATGATTCAGTCAGTCTTGATAAGACCTGATAGGCTAGGGTCAGCTAGAAGGGTAGGAGGTCCTCCTAGGGAAAGGGCATAAGGGGAGAAAAGGGAGGATGGGTGGGACTGGGAGGAGATGAGGGAGGGGGCTGCAGCAGGGATACAAAGTGAATAAATTGTAATTAATTAATTAATTAATTAATTAATTAAAAAAAGAAAAAAGTTGATATAAGTTTGAAGGGTACAAACCCGTCAGTGTGGCTCAGACCCCAGGAGCCTTTGGTAGAAGACATAACCAGGAAAACGGCTTAAGAAAAGTCTAGAAGGAACTGGGCGTCGGTGGTGGTGATGATTTGAACCTTTAATCCCAGTATTTGTGATTAAAGAGGCAGAGGCAGGTAGGTCTCAGAGTTGGAGGCCAGCCTTGTCTACAGAGCAAGTTCAGGACAGACAGAGCTACACACAGAAACCCTGTCTTGAAAAACAAAGAACAAACAAACAAAAAGAAAAGCATAGAAGAAGCTGAGGAGGGGGCTGGAAAGATAGCTCAGAGGTTAAGAGCACTGGCTGATCTTCCAAAGGCCCTGAGTTCAATTCCCAGCAACCACATTATAGCCATCTATAATGAGATCTGGTGATCTCTTTTGGCCTCACAGGCAGGCAGAATACTGTAAAAATAATAAATAAATAAATCTTAAAAAGGGGTGGGTGTGCTGAGGAGATGGCTCAGTGTCATAGAAACATGAGGATCTAAGTTTAGAGCGCCTGCATGACGTAGAAGCTGGTGTGACACCTGAAAACCCAATGCAGGGTTCTGGAGACAGGTCAATTCCAGGTCTCACCGGCCAGCCAGTCTAGCGCTTACAGAGAGATCTAGGTTCTTCGAGAGACCCTGCTTCAAAAACATAAGGCAGAGGCCACTTAGTGTTGACCTCTGGCCCTCACATGGATGTGCCTGGGCAAGCACACAGGCCAACACGGCACACAAGACGGGAAGGGAGATATCGGTCTGGAAGGCTTTGTGGTGCAGGCTGTGTAGGTGGTAAAGTAGTATGAGCTAAGCACAGGCAGAAAGCCAAAGGCCATCCAAGTTGAAGGGGTGATGGGGAGCTGGCTGCTTCCTGATGGAGTGAGGCCACATTCCTTTCTCCCCAATTCTACCAGGCCCTGCAGTCAGCCCCGGGGGAGTGGCAGAGTCTACGTTCCAAGCTACAAAGCTGCAAGGACATGCCACAGTGGCACCTGGCCCAGGCCAGTCCACCCTCTGGGAGGCCCAAGGTGAATTTAGCCATCAAAGGACTGTGTGGCTTAGGCTGGGGATAGTGGCAATGCTTGCCCAGGGGTTCCACCCTCAGTACTGTACGCAGTAATCCCGGCACTTAGAAGGGTGAGAAGTTGAAAAGTCACCTTTGGCTTCATAAGGAGTCCAAGGCCAGCATGGGCTAGAGATCCTGAGGAAGGTGGAAGGAAGAGAAAGAGGGAAGGAGGGAGGGAGAGAGGAAGGAGGGGAGGAAGGGAAGGGTAGGGCTTGTTCAAGGCTGTACTACTCATTCACGTAAACAGCTGTGGTGTAGGGCCAGGGACACAACCCTGACACTCCACCTGCCCTCTTTATCTCCCTACCTCCTGAGAGCCCACCCCAGGCCACCCTGGAGGTGCTGAGCACTCCAGTGTTCCAGTACCTGCCAGCTGTTAGCCCTAGCTCCTTCCGAGGCCTGCTGGCTGACCCTTTGTCTGGAGGGAAGCTGAAACTGGCTAGGCCTTAAGCCCTGGAGCATTCTTTTAGTCACTCACTCCTCTGCTATCTGCGTTTTTGGGAGGCAGGGGGTCTCCCAGGTATCGATGAAAAGCTATTTCTTGATTAGTTCCCGGGAGGGAGACCAGGAAGGTGACCCTAGGACATATCTTGGCGGGGGGCACTCCCGGCTAGTATGACACAGAGGTGACTTCAGCTATGTGGGGCCTGAGGCTAGCCTGGCCTGCAGAGCTCAGCCAGCAGCCACGGGGGTGGGGGGGGGGGAGAAGCAAGCCACAGGCCTCCTTCCCAAGCAAAACTTACTGGGCCCTCTCCACAGTGGATGTGGTTTAGAGAGAACCAGCACAGGTTTTGAGACTCCATAGCTCTAGGTCTGAACTCTTCCCTTCATCTCTTAGGGAAGCCGTTTTTGCCTCTGAGTGTCATCTGCAACAGGCCTGTACCTCCATGTTGCATTGTGAGAGACAAAACAAAACAAAACAAAACAACAAAAAACTTAGCACATGACAGATACAGCCAGTACCACCGTCCCTGCTAACTGGTCCACACAGGCTGAGACGTAAGTCATTCTATGACTTTGCCTTCCTCTGATCCCTTGCTGCATCTTTTCCAGCAACCATGTTAAGAAGAGTCCATGTTGAGGAGGAGGAGGAGGAGCCAAGGACCTGAGAGGGCCCCTCTACCATCATGTAGCTGGTGAGGGAGGAGTCCGCTTGGAATTCACACGAAGCCACCAGAAGGGCAGCAGTGCTCCTCTGGGGACGTTAGGGGCCAGGCCCCATGGTCGGCCCCTAAACCTCTGCATCAAGCCTACGCTCACAGCTATGTCAGACAGCACCGAGAGTTGAGTGTTACAGAACTGGGGACTGAGATGTAGAATAGGTCCCTGGATAAGCAGCCAAGCTGGTCTGGGGTGGAGGGGCTACCTGGCTTCAGAGCTCTGCAGTGTGGCCCTGATGCCACCAGGCGCTGCTGTTCCCCATGCCCAGGGCAGATCCTTATACCATCAACTTGACCCCAAGTGACAGGGCAGATAGAAAGTCATAGCCCAGGAGCAGAGGCCACTCCCTGTGAACCCTGACAAGCTAGCAGGGAAACTGAGGCAAGATGTCTTAACCTGCCTCAGATGAGCTGAGGGGTCCTGCCAAGGAGCTGCTTGGGACAGTGGGGAAAAGGGTGGGTGGGTGACCTATCGACAGCCATGGCCTGAGGCTGGGGTGGGAAAGAAAGACAAGATGTCCTTAACCCACTTGCCCTGGAAGGACATGGCTGCCTAAAAAGCAGTTGTTAAATCGGAATCATTTCCTATCTCCTGAGATGAGTTTTGTTGCTTAGAGAGGATCTGTCCTCTTTTAAGCAGCTACTTCTGTCACCTACGCCTCAGCACACTGAAGAGCTTTAAAAAGCCTGACAAGCTGGGTGTGCGGTGGCTCACGCCTGTGATCCCAAGCACTTGGGAATGACTTCCAGTCCAAGGAGCGTGGACTACACAGAAAGACCTTGTCTCAGAAATCCGACCAACTGCCAAGACACGGTTAAGTATTCATGGATCTGAGTGCTGTCACTGACGGGTGGATTAACAGAGCTTTCCTATCTGGCCCTTCGCCAGCTTTGGGAGCCCCAGGAGAGGGCAGAGGGCAGCAGCAGAGGGAACTGGAAAGGGTTTCTTCAGGCTGCACATGTGGTCCAGCACATGCCGGCACTCCTTCTGGGAGAGGAAGCACTGCGTGACAGGAATGAATATAGCAGCAAGCAGGACACACTTGGGAGTCTAAGCGTGGAATCCACATCAAAAGGGCTCTGGGCGGTCAGGTATCACTTATCAGCAGCCCAGGTGACCCCACTTATGAGTGACAGACTCTCTGTATTATATTATATATATGATGTAATATATATATATGATGTATTATCTCTCTCTCTTTCTCTCTCTCTCTCTTTTGAGTCAGGACCTCATGAAGCCTAGGTTGACTTTAAATTGAACTCTTGATCCTCCGGCCTCTACCTCCCATGTGGGGATTGCAGGCTTTTGCCACCTCCACGGGATTGAACCCATGGCCTTATGCATGCCAGGCAAGCATTCTCCCAAATGAGCTATTAACCACCCCCACCCCCACCCTTCGACAACACTGATGAAAACCTATCACCTGAGCCAGAGCATCCCACCTCCATCCCTTCCCCTTACAACACTGCAGACTCAGTCACTGCCAGCCAGGAGCCGAGCAGTGCCTGGAAAGCCTAGGCTTGAGGCTCTGTGTTCCCTGTCAGCAATGACTGCCTCACACATGCTGGAAAGCTCAGAGTTAACCAGCTCCCTCGGGGCCACACTGTGAGGGACACTACCCTCCTCCACCCCCTTGCCACTCCTCTGGAGCTTACCAAGTAGATTCTTGATGATGGCTTGGTTGTGTTCCCAGAGGTTGCTGAAGGTTCCCCAGCGTGAGTGGCCATCGGGCACAGGGTTGGCCTTGATCCAGCCCCCGCAGGCATAGCTGAAGAAGTCCTGGCAGGGGTCTACTGTGGGGTCCATGGAGTTTAGGATGGAGCTGGTCACTGAGACGCAGGCCTCCGTCAGACATACCGGGGGCGTTCCTGAGAGACAAGGACAAGAGGCCAATGAGAGGTGAGCAGTGCAGATGGTCTGGAGCCGGGGGGCCACAAGCCCTACCTGGCCCTGACCTAGCAGGGAGGCTACCAGATCCCTCACAAGATGCAGAGCATGGTGGCACAAAGCTGTACGACAGGCAGGAGGATCAGAAGTTCAAAGTCAACCTTAGTTACAAAGAGTTACGGGAAGCTAGCCGGAGACGCACGAGACCCTGTCTCAAAACAACAAAACAAAATTGCTATGCTATTGGCATGTGAACTGAAAAGAATCTTCTTTAAGTGCTGGGAACGGAGCCAGGGCCTTGTACATGCCAGGCAAGTGCTCTCCCACTGAGACACAGCCCACAGAGAGCCTTTCTGTGGCAGGGGTGACAGTGCCACTTACAGTAACACGTGATCAAATCCCCTTAACGAGAACTGCACCCCCCAATTCCCGGCCACTGGGAAGGCCAGAACTTTACGAGGGGAAAAAGAACGTCTGTGTGTTTGAAAAAGGCTGTTCACTATTATGACATAAGTTCATATTTGGAGAGGAAAAAGAATACCTATTGTTTTTATTCGGTAAACTGCAGGAAGTCAAGTCTGACAAAATCTTGGCTGGAAATGCCCACAAGACACAGTAAGGGGACCTGAGCTTGAAAACAACATGAGGTGGTGGTGCACGCCTTTAATCCCAGTACTCAGGAGGCAGAGACAGGTGGATTTGTGTGAGTTTAAGGCCAGCCTGATCTACGGAGTTCCAGGACAGCCAGGGCTACACAGAGAAACCCTGTCTTGAAAAAACAAACAACCCAACCCAACCAAACATCCCTGGCTAACGAATGGAACTAATGAATAGCTTCGGGGTCCTCAGCTGACCAATTGATAGATTGTGGCCCTCTTGTCTAAGTCCCCTGTTCCTTGGAAACCTTCCCAGGCCCTCTGGTGCTGTGTTCCTTCCTGCTGTGGGCATCTGCTGACTTATCATGGACGGTCCTATGTCACAGCCATCTTCCTGTCCACCTCCCCGCTAGAGCGTGAACTTGTTTTTACACATCCATTCCCCAGCGCTGTGCTTGGCACCCATTGCTGTTCAGTCAATGTTTGTGGAGGCAATGAAATGACCTACTGAATCAAAGTGTTCTAAGACCATGTCACCTGCCGGAGAGGTGGCAAATACTCCTTTGCTCTGGGACGAACACGGCCATTTGAGAAGGCAGCTTAGGTCGAATTTACTCATCCAACTGTACCTGGCCTCAGGGCCATCCAAGATGCTTTAATTCTTTAAAAACATCTATGTGTGTAAACATACATGTCTGTCTGTATGTGAATGTACTGTGTGACTGTGCATGCCATGGCATGTGTGTGGAAGTCAGGGGACAATTTACAGGCATCAGCGCTCTTCTCCTTCTACCATGTCAGTGCTGGGCTAGAACTCAGGTCACCAGGCTTGAGAGCAAGCACCTTCACCCACTTAGCCATCCATCTGGCCCTCAAGATGCCTGAAAATACTTCACAGAACAGGGCTAGGGAAACAGGTTCATCAGTAACGCCAGAGCCCATGCACAAATGCCAGGGGGGATGGCACACTCTTGTAATCCAAAGCTGAGGAGGTGGAGACAGAGGGATCCCTGGGCTTGCCGTGAGCGGGTCGAGCGTAACAGGTGAGCTCCAGGCTGTTGAGAGGCACTGTCGTAATGGAGGTGAATGGCATTCCTGAGGAGGTCTGCGTTAGTTTTGCCGCTGTTTGGAAAGTGGCTCAAAGTCTCTGGAAAGCAGGCCGAAGCAGGGAGGTGAGATCAGAATGTCCTCGGGGGCCCAGACGCTGCTTAGAGGTAGGTCTTCCAGAATTGTCTGAGGAGTTGTTTTGCCTGGCCAGTGGTGTTTGCTCAGATGCAGCCAATGTCGGGGTTCTGCCAAGACCGGAGGCGGCTGCGGCTTTCTCTCATGGTGCATAGGTCACCTGATCCTTAGCCCAGCTCCATCCACGCAAGAGGGCCATTCTTCTCTCAGGAGGTAGGGAGAGGAACGAAACAGAGGCAGAGGCTGTAGTCTGCCCCTTGGAGTCCCACCTGGCAGCAACAACGGCTGCTTGAGATCTGGGGATCAAACTCACGCTGCCTGGCTTGGCAGCCAGCACCTCTACCCATTGATCTAGCTTGTCAGCCCCATGATGGTTATTTAGAAGCTGTCCTTTGGGAGTACGCTTTGATTTCTGGAGAAACATGTTGGGGTTCCTACGGGGCGTCCCAGAGCAGCCTGCTCTCCATCTCTGGGCCAATAGCTGGGCAGACAGTGCTGGGCCCACACTGCCTGGAAGGATGCTCTGAACTGAAGCTGACTCAGGATGGGGGCAACTGCAGAAAGAGAATGCTCCACCTGTGCTCTGTTGATGGAGCAGACGTGTGTACACACTCATTTATACACCTCCACACACACACACACACACACACACACACACACACACACACAGACACAGAGGCTTGGTAGAGAAAGGCCGTTCCCAGTTCTACTCTCCTCTACACACCTCTGGCCAACCAGCCATTCATTTATTCAGCTTCTCCATACCCATGGCTATGCTCGACACACGGTTAAAAGCCTAGAAATAAGTATTTAATCAGCACTTCCGAGCCAGGCAGGCACAGGAAAACACCTCTATAAGCCATTAGTTAGTTAAATCATCAGGCAATTATTTCTTAAGCGTCTTGTAGATACTTAGGTTAGTCACAGAGTAAGCACTCAGGAAATGTTTGTGGAATGAATGAATGAATGACTGTGTGTCCCACACAGGAGGGAGGGGCTTGTGAATAAAGTCCCAGCCCTCCACATTTAGGAAGCCAAAATGCCCCCTTCCCACTCCAGGATGGCTTCCCCCAAGCACTCTCACAGTGGAGAAGGCTCAACATGGCCATTATGATGGGGTGAATGACAGCCAGGGGGTGGGACCCCAAAGCTCCCTTTGGTTTATCTGACTGACAAAACAGTAGACAGTTGGGGGCAGGAGGATAGGAGACCCTGAACTTGATTTTTAACCTGGATCTATTCTTCCAGGATCCACCCTTTCCATGACCCCACAAGGATAGCTGGGTCACAGGAGCCCCTCATGACAACAGTCAGAGGGGCCCATAAACGCAGAGGGCCAAAGGGATCCATCATGACAACAGGGCCAGAGAGACACACCATGACAGCAGGGTCAGGGGGACCCATCACAACAGGTCAGAAGGAGCCATCACGTGATCATCCAGTGTGCAGGAGAGTCATGCATGCACAGAGACACACAAAGTCTCCGAGGCATGAAGTACGGCCTTTCAGGGTGCCGACAGGCCCTGGACTGCATGTCAATTACAAAGAGAGGTGGGGCCTTTGCTCTGGATTCCTCTGAACCCTGGAAACCTGTGAGCAAACGCAATCTCCACACTCCATCCCCCGAGCCTACAGCCTGAGGCGAGTCAGTCTCTGTGCCTCCACATTTCACAGGAGTTGCATTCGTGAGGAGGAGAGGACCATAGAAAGTGGCCCAGTAAACGGAGGCTATTGTTGCTGTACTCATGACACTAAGGAAGGCAGGCAGCCACAGCTTCAGAGTAACTGAGCCAAAGCTAACTCAAGAAGACCTTGGGGACATCAGATACATGTCATTAGAGTTACCCTCAACGAGGTACTTTCCCCTGTATTTAGAGAAGAAAGAAATGTATGTAAGATGTGAAAATTAAGTGGCTTGTCCAACCGTTAAGCTACTGGACCGGGGTGTGAACTCCTGTCGTTTTTGTTATTGCCTTAAGGCAGGATCTAATGCAGTTTAGGAAGGCTTTGAATTCACTAAGTAATCCAGGCTAGCTTTGAAATCCTCATCTGCCTGCCTCAGCCTACCGGGGCATCGAGATTATAAGCACGAGCCATTGTACCCAAATTTGACCTTCTGACTTCAAAACCTTGCTATCACTTATTCCTATCTATCTGTACCCTGAACCCTTAGGGTGCCTCTCTCCTTGACTCTGGAGGCCAATCCCAGCTTGAACAAGGACCTCTGCCTCCTTCACAGAGTGACAGAGCACAATGGATGATAGTCAAGCCAATCACAAATCACAGATGCACCTACTTGTCCGGTACTGGATGCCCAGGGTTGCCAGGCAGGCCACCAGGCCTGCTGCCAGAAGTGCCACCAGTACCACCAGCCGCTTCTCCACCGAGGTCCGAGCTGCCCAGCACCTCTGGCCGCTCCGGGGGCTGCGGAAGTTCACCTGCAGGGAAGGAGGCAAGAGGGGAGGGGAGACCATGAGCCCAGGGCTCTCCTTCCCCAAAAGGAAGGGGCTCTGCTGCAGATCCAGACCCTGGGGAGGCATCAGTTTGCCCTTCTGTCTCAGGGGTGGTCCAGTTCCCACAGAATCTGCCCTAATCCAGGAAAGGAACCACTGCCCCGGCTAGTAGCTTCGATTTGCACTGGGACATCAGAGCTAGCGGCTCAGCTAAGGAGGGCTTGTGTTTTCTCTGTCACCCGATACCGGTAGATGAAAAAAAAAATCTACAGCTTTTCCAATTCTCCAGTAAGGAGCTCAAAAAAGAACAGGATGTTTGGACTTTGAAGGCATTCAGAGGGCGGCCAGCTGGGCCCTCCTCAGAGCCCCCGCACCTACAGAGCCAGAGACAAGCATGACACAGTGCCAGCTCCTGCTCTCTGCAGGCAGGACACACTCAGCTAAGTCTTTCTAATCCTATCAGGGCTGCCTCATCCCTTCTCTTCTTACAAATGAGGAAACCGAGGTCCAGGGTCATTTATCTCATAGCTGAGTAGGTAGGGCTGAGATTTGAAGTAGATTCTAGAGACATAGGTCTTAGGTGACGATCGGGGAAGACAAGAGGAGAAACAGGTCCATTCATGGAGGAAAAATGTGCCAGGCCCCCGTCGTCTGGCTAAACAGGAAAGGAGGCACAATGAGAGGAAGTGGAGGGTGTGGGAGGTCCTTGGGGGCAGGAGCCTGGAGGGGACATGCCTGCACTCAGGACCCTCAGCCCATGTTCTTCATACCCAAAGTCAGCACGGGGTTAGGGGTGGGAGTGGGGGAGGGTACTCCCTGAAAAAGCCAGGAGGGGCACAGGACAGGAAATGTCTCCAGAAGGTGGGGCTGTTCGGTGATGTCACCCGGTACAAACAGCTGGGCACCAACTCAAGGGGGAGAAATAGATTCCTTTGCTTTCAACTGCTTACAGTCAAGAGAGGAGGCAGGCAATGAACAGACAGGTGGACAGGGAAGGCTTCCTGGAGCAGGTGATGTCTGGGTTGGGTGTGGACCAATGAAGAAGGAGCTGGTCACGGGTGCAAAGCACAGCTCTGAGAAAGAACAGTTCAAAGGACTGGAAGACACGTCACTGGAGGAGGAGGAGGAACAAGAGTTCTTAAGAGGTGCCCAGCATACCAGGGCACCTGGGGACGCCCATCTCTGGCTCACTGAGTTCCCACACAGCTGTGTAGGGGCTGCCCCCAGAGCAGGTCAGAGCCTGGGAGGTATCCTACAACTGGCACATGAGATTTGAGATGGGCCACCCTAGGGAAGGGCGTCTTGGTCAGCCTGGGGTGCTAAAAGAGAAAGAGGAACGTGATGACTACGTATGGAAGAAGAACTGGGATCTAAAACTGAGAAGAGAATGCTGAGAACTGGATACAATTCAGTGACTGCGCCCCCATGGTGGTAGCCAGGTTGGAGAAGGGGGGGCTCCCTGAGCAGATCCCCTCAGCTTTCTGAAACAGGAAGAGGTAGAGGTTTCTGACCAGGGTACTTTTACCTGTTCAGAGACAGCTAAAGAGGCATGCTCCTGTTGACACAGGACCCTTCGGCCTGTTACCTCAGGTTCTGGTATACAGAGAGACCCCCAAGGCCTTGAGTCCTCAGGTACAGCCTTGCTGAGGGACATGGGACATTAGCATCCCTTCACTTGGCTGTCCTTCTGCCCTAAGACTTGTCCCAGCCTTTCTCTTCCACCTTCTGCTCTCTCCTGTCCCATGACTGTGGCTCAGTTAACAGAGCACGGAGGCAGGGAGACCTTGGTTTAAGAGGCTTCCTTTGCCTGATGTCAACTCCAAGGAGCTGGTGGAATAGACTGTTCAGCTTGGGGGACAGCAAGGAAATGTCACTTCATTGGGGCACCAAAGTGCCATGGTGAGGGGAATAAGGAGAAGAAAGGTGAAAGGACATCACGGAGGTGAGGGAGGAGGACAGAAGAGATGGCAGATAAAAGGAGCACAGAAGGAGGAGAGGAAACAAATGGATAGCAACTTATAAATGTTTGAGAGCTGACTTTTTTGGGCCTGGCACCCGTTTGTTCTGTTTTGTCGCTTGGTGGGGGAGTTCCCAAGACCAGGTACTAGTGTGAGCTCCAGAGGAGGTAAAGCTAGTGGGGGCTTCGGGGTCAGAAGCAGAGGGCACAAAGAGACAAGCCACCTCTCCAGACTGTGAAGCTCCTGTCCATGAGGCCCCACCTCCCCAAGAGAAAAAAAACAGGCAGCTGGGACAGCGCTGTTCCATGTCAAACCAAGTGTTGAATCTAAACAGATGGCATTCACCGTGAATTAAATTAGAATTAAGTCAGAACGGGATTGAAATTTCTCAGTTCCAAGCAAGAGCTGCAAACGGGATTTGAAAATAGGATCATTAACCTCTGTCATGCTCACTGCTTGACTTTCACTGCTGGACCAAGCACTTCTGAGTTTCTGGACAGACCTCGCCTCTGAGGGCAGGGGGAATTCGGAGCAGCTCCTAAGGGTGGAATTGCCTGGAAGCTCTGGGCTGGGAACAGGAGAGGCTGGGCAAAGGTGGTATCAGGGTACCACTCTGCCCCTTTCCCCCCACCCCCAATGTGCCCTGGGAGGATCCCATGGGATGAGGTGATAACAAAGAAATACATGTTTCCATGCTTTCCTTTAAAAAGGAGGGCATGCCAACTGTTGGAGCCAAGCTGTGGCCTCTTTGAGGGCGGTAGGATTAGTGGCAGGCAGCCCAATCCGTCTTCAGAGGTGCCTGGAAGTGGCTGCTGGCCGAGCCACAGCGCTGATACCCCAAAGATGGAGTCAGAGTCACTGTGGACTGTCAGGCCACTGACAGGGTCAGCGTCCTACTTACGAGGTAGAAACAGAAAGACAGCAGGAGAGATGGGGATGCCCTCCAAACAGAGAAGTGGGGGGAGGGATGAGGCACAGGAAGAGGGATGGAGCTACAGACAGCAGAAGAAGAAGAGAGACAGAGTGGGAGGGAGAGAGCAGAGGTGTCCAGCCCCGGTGTTCCCAGGGTTTGCCAGGCAGGGAAACAAAGCCCATTATAAGTGGGGATAAATATTTGGTTACAGTGGTGAGCGCCTGGCTCACCGAGGCTGGCAGCAAGAACAAGTTCTGCAGGTGAGGAAGGATGCCTGGCCCCGGGGCCCAGGGGAAGAGCCAGCAGTGCAGGGGTGGGAACCAGGCTGAACACGCTTTCAGAGTCTGAGGGCCCCCAGCAAGCTGGCTTCACGGAGCAGCAAACAAGGGTTATCTGCCAAAGCTCTCGGGGAGCCCAGAGGCCCAGGGCCATGCGAGCTCTCTGCCTCAGACTCGACCTTTCAGAGCAGGCAGACCGTGACAGCTCAGCCTCACAGGGAGAGTCTGCCTCCCTCTGTGGGGGTGTCATTTTGGGGGAAGTTCCCTTCCAGTAAAGTTTCCATGAGGTAGACTTTCAGCTGCGGCTACTGAGGTCAGCCCTGAGCAGAACCATGACGACTTCCCCACTCTGTCAGAGTGACCTGCCCCTCCCTACCTGACCTTAAAGAGAAAGTGCTGGCTTAACAGTCCCTCCTGTGTGAGTGGACCCCAGAAGAATCAACCTTTAAGAGAAATCACAGTCCTAGAAAATGTCTTCCCAGAAGGAAGCTCTCCAGCTTTTCTTCCTTCCTGAGAAAAGCAGGTCAGCTAGCACCCTGAGGGGCTGCCGAGGCAGCCTCAGGCCTGTCTCCTACCTCCAACACTAGGAAGCTGGGGTGAAGTCACCAGGTGTGAGTGACCATTTCAGAGTCTAGAACACACTGGCCAAGAGTCTTACACTATAACAACAGATGTGAAGGTCCTTCCTGATAAGGGAAAAGTTGTTTGAAAGTCGCTTCAAATTGCTCTCCCAAGACAGCCTTATGCAGAGAGTGGGAAGGTGAGGTGCGATTTTTGTATCTCAGCTTTCCTTTTCCCTAATTTCCCCCACAGAAGTAATTGGATGTATTTCAAAGGTTTTAACAGACAGCTGTGGCCAGGCTTCCCATGCTGGCTGCAGGTGTAATCTTGACCATTTTCCTTCAAGCTACTGTAATCTGTGTGTGTGTGTGTGTGTGTGTGTGTGTGTGTGTGTGTGTTTGCATGGGTTTCTGTCTGTCTATGTATCTTTCTGTCTGTGTATGTCTGTGTCTCTGTGTGTGTGTGGGGGGTGCATGTGAGAGAGGTAACTGGCATTTATAAAGCAGAGCTTTGGAGGGAAAATGCTATTTAACACGGGGCATCACTGAGGTATCAGCTGCTGTGACAGCTAAGTCAGAGCACTGGATGTAACTTTCATTTTTTTAAAGCACTATTGCCTCACTCGAATCTTAGCTGCGACTCTAAGAGGTGGTTTAACAACAATAATGCATTTTGTTTTTTCTTTCTTTTTTAAAGATTTATTTATTATGTATCCAATGTTCTGTCTGCACGTACACCTGCACACCAGAAAAGGGCACCAGATCTCATTATAGATGGGTTGTGAGCCACCATGTGGTTGCTGGGAATTGAACTCAGGACCTCTGGAAGAGCAGCCAGTGCTCTTGACCTCTGAGCCCTCTCTCCAGCCCCCAATAATGCATCTTGTAAAGAAAGCTGTATTCATGAGGTGTTTTCAGGTCTAAAAAGCCCCTGACAGACAGGTAGGGCTCCATAGCTTTAAACTGTGTGCTCAGAGGCCTCCCGGCTTTTAGCAGAGTGAGCGCCATCTGGGGAAATCATGGAGCTCCCAGCAAGGCTTGCAGGGCACCTCCAGAAATGCCCCCAAATTCTCAGCAACCTTCCTGCATTTTCTGCACAGAAATCAGAAGATACACCTAGATGGGAAGCTGGCTGTGGGGACACCAAGATTGCGGTTCACCCCGCACCACAAGGACGCCTCGTCCCCTTCCCATGTCTCAGCCTCGCATCTGTGTTATGGCTACCATGCGGCTACCGGCCCTTACCTCATAGGTCACAGAACAATAATCGTAGCAGCGATGCAGGTCACTCTGGTTTTTCTTACCCTATCTAATGGATGAGGGCTGAAAGAGATTCTGTGGCTTGCCCAAAGTCTCCAGTCAGAATTCACACTCAGGTCCCTAGCTTCAGAGAGAGGGTTCTCTGTGTTTTGGGTGAATCTCACTCAGACAAATGTGCTGCCGATATGAAAAGGCTACATATACCCAAATGGACCGAGGCTTAAGACAGCACATTATATTCTCGTTAATTCAGAGATGGTTTATCCTGGTGCATGAAGTTCTATGAAAAGTGAGACTAAAAGAGACTGGGCTGTGCAGAGAGGGTGCTGCTTAGCTCATTCTGAGGAGTCCACAAGGGAGGGGGCTCCAGACTGGGCTTGGCCGTCTCTCTAATTTCTAGCACCCAGACGGTCCTGAAGTTAGCTGTGAGCCCTCTCAGAGCCTCTATTTCTACATACACAGGTAGAGAGAGTAACCCTCAAGCCTAGAGGTGAGGGGGCAAATCCCGGTGAGTGGAGGTGCTGGAGGGAAGGAGCTGAGTATCTCAGAGGACCTCAACGAAGGCCATTTCCAAGTCTGGCACTCCAGGGTCTTACACCTGTGGCTGCCAAGAGCTGAAACTTTACTCCTTATGCGCACTACCTTGAGGTAAGTTTGATTAGGTGCCCTTCACCAGGCACCCTTGTCGCTTGTCCGACACGGGAGAAGTTCTCTTGGTCCTGGCCCTCTGCGGGATGGTTTTCCAGGAGCTGGATCACGGATCCCAGCTTACCCATGCTCTGGCTTGGCCAGAAAGCTCTGCCCCCGGGAGGGGGTGGGGAGAGGAGAAAGCCTGGGCAGCAGCCCTCCTGCAAGGCACGGTCAAGCCAGGGGGATGTCAAGTCTCTGTGAGATTCCCACAAGAGCAGACTCTAGAAGGAAGGAACCAGGCTTCCGGATAGGCTGGCAAAGGACAGAGAGGGGAGACTGAAGGCCGTCCCCAACCCCCGTTAATGGAGGTAGTCAGGGAGGAGAGGGAAATGAAGGGGTGACGCTTCACAGACAGGGCTCCAGGGAGGCGGGGCCCGCCATGCCAAAGCTGGAACAGCCTTAGACTGTCAGTGCCGGGTCTGTGTAACCCCAGGAAAGTTCCTTCCTCCCCCCCCCCCCCCCCCGCTGTTCTGTGCAAAGGTCAGGGCTTCAACTTTGCATCTGCGGGTTACATGGATGGTACTGCAGGTGGGATGGAAGCCAGCCTCAGAGCACAGGAAGTGATCCTCAAAGCACCGCTGCTCAGGAAGGGGTCCTCTGCGGGCCCAGGAGCTGCTGGGTGCACGACCCACCTCCTTCCCTTCAGGACTGGAGGCGGTAGTGCCAGACTGCGCATGCCCGAGCAGGAAGGGTCAGGGTTCCTACCTGTAGGCCATTGGGGTACACGTCGCCCTCAGAGAGTGAGTCCACCAGATCCTCTTCGTCCAGCGTGGCTCGCTTGTAGGTTGACATCTGCAATGCCAAGTGCAGTACAGACTCCCTCAGCGTCTCCATAGTCCAGATGGGAAAGCGGGCCCGGCGCCCCGCCCCGCCCCTGCCACCCGAGATCAGCCCACGGACGAACGGCCCTCCCCGCGCGCCACGCCCGCCTCACCCCTAGAGCGGACAGCGCGGCTGACAGCCACACGCTACGCATGCTGCACCCCGCGATGCCCAGTCCGGGTCGGGTCCCCTGGTGTCTACACTAGCGGGACGCCGGGGGCGGGGCCCCGCTGGAGGGTGGGCGTGGCCTGCTGGGCACATGCCCCTCCTGGGCCTTCCGCGAGAGTTGGGGTGGGGTGGAGATCTCTTCTCGCCCAGCTCCAGACTAGCCGGCAGGAGAGAGCCTCATTCATAAGGAGGTCCCCAACGGCAGAGACCAAACATCAAGTTCAGCAAAGCCTAGATAATCAAGGCACATTCTTTCTCCATCAGCCCTTGGCTGAGATGTGGGGTCTTCTGTGGAGCTAAAAAGGCTGAGGGCGGGGAACGGGAGTGGAGCCAGGAATACCCCCACATCGCGGTTCCTTTTCCCTCTAATTCGGGAGTTTTAAAGCCAGAGTTCGGAACGACGTTCACACAATTCTAAGAAAGTCCCAACGCGACGCGCACGCCTGTAATCCCAGCTCTCAGGGAGGCAGAGGAAGGCGGATCTGTGTGAGTTCGAGACCAGCCTAGTCTACAAAGCGAGTCCAGGATAGCCAACGCTACACAGAGGTATCCTGTCTCGGAAAACAACAAACAAACAATAAAGTCCCAACGCAATGAAAACTGCTGAGTGAATTTGGCGGCCTGCCACCCTCCCTCAAAGGAGGTGGCCCTCCCATACACACGACGAATCTTCGCCTCATGGGCCAGTGAGATGGCTTAGCCGGTAAAGGTGCTTGCAGTTAAAGGCCAACCACTTGAGTTCATCTCCAGATTCCACATGATGCAAGGAGAGAACCAAGTCCCACAGGCTGCCCTTTGCCTTCCACGTGTCACAGCACATACGCTCACAGCCACACACACACACACAAATAACAGTCGGAGTTCTTGCGAAGGGGGGGGGGCATGGCGGTGCATGCCTTTCATCCCAGCACCTGGGAGACAGAGACATGCAGATCTCTGAGTTCAAGGCCAGTCTGGTGTACATATCTTTATCTTAAAAAAAAAAAAAAAAAAAAAAGGTGTGGGTGGGGAGAACCGTTGCTTTGGGATGGGCTGGAGAGACGGCTCAATGATAGTGCACTCCTCAAGTCTCATCCTCAATACAGCAAGAGCAAATAAAACCTCAAAGCTTTGGAGTAGAGCAAAAGTTAATTAAAAATTTTAAAAAAATACTTAAAAAGAACCCAGGTAGGTGAATTTCCATCTCAGGAGTACAGAACTTTCTTTAAGTGTCTCCTCCATCGTCAGGGGCCTCTCCTGTGACCCCGGCTGAAAAGGCGGTCTCTGACGGATGGTGAATAAGACATGCTCTCTCCCACCTCAGGACCCCAAAGGTCTAACCTAGTTTTCCAAAAGGTACCCCACTTCTAATAAGTCACTCAAAGATCTTCAGCTTTCCAAAGAGCCATTTTTTTGGTCTTTTTTAGGCTTATAAAAATGTGTTTGAGTGTTCTGACTGTATGTATGTATACCTCATGCGTGCCTGGTGCCAGTTATGGATGGTTGTGAGCCACCATGTGGGTGCTGGGAACTGAACCTAAGTCATCCAGAAGAGCAGCCAGTGTTCTTACCCACTGAGACACCCCTCCAAAGCACCATTTCTGTTTAGTCCCAACTTGGTTCTCATCGTACGGCAAGTGTGGAGGGGTGAGGTGGCTGTCCAGGGGAGGGGGAGGGGCCGGTGGGGAAGGTAGGGCTCCTAGGAGTTCCCAGGCCTTATGGGCCAGCAAGATGGCTCAACAGGTAAAGGTACTTGCTGTCCAATCCAACTGCTTCAGTTCACCCCCAGGACCCTCCTCCCTCTGAGCCAGCCAGCCGCTGGAAGTGAAATTCTCATCACACCACACTGGCTTCAAAGTCTCCTGTGTCCTCCAACCTTTTGCCAGGCTCAGGGCTGCCCGTCCCTGACCCTCCTCTTTAGCCGCCACTCACCAAAGCCCCAGATTTCTTCGCTGGCTTTTGTTCAGATCTGCAGGTACCTAAGTTGCTTGTTCTCAGCCAAGTCCTTTGTAGCTGCTCCTCCCTCCATCTGGAACATTCTTTCCTAATCTTTGCTCCTCCTACAGCCGGCCCCAGACTCTCAGATCAAATGCTACCTGCTCAAATGTTCAACTCGCCCCAAGTAGTTCCCCGAATTCTCCTACCGCAGCCTCTTACTTCCTTATAGTACCTACTGTGTCTGTTAGGCTTGTTTTGTTTTGTTTTGGGAGGTCTTATTATGTAGCCCAGGCAAGCCTGGAACTCACAACCCTCCCACCTCTACCTCCAGGGACTGGGATGGCAAGGGTGCACCTGTCTCCATGTACACCTGCGAGCGTTCAGTTAATAGTTCGCTACTGTTTTCTAAAACATGAGATTTGGATGCATTGGCAGGTGCCAGTCACCAGAGGAAAAGAATTTTGGTTCCCCCAGCACCTTCCCCGGAACCTAGGTGGGCCAGAGAAGTAATTGTTCCTGCTCCCTATTCTCAGCCTGGTCACCTTTCTCTTTGGTGGCTTTCCTTGGCCCCTCTTATGCAGAATGAAACTGAAGCTATGGAAGAACCTTGCGGGCTGGTTAAGCAATGGCTCCTCCCACTTCCAATTCATTTCAGAGACCTTCCCTTCTGGGAAACCTCCTGACCACTGACAGCATCTGCCCCCCTGTGATATGTCCCTCAGTCTCCTCCCCATGCCACCTCCCACCCCTCTTCAGATAGGAGTGTAGTGTGCTGAAGACAGCCTGGTCTGCTCCCTCAAGGGCCCAGTCTGGGGCTACAAGCTTCCAGATGTTTGAGCAAAGGTGCAAATGGTTGGGTGGACAACCATGTCCCATCCACCCCCCCTGCAGCTGTTAGTGGCTAGATGACGTGGGCGGCTCAGGTACCTCTCAAGAGAAATAAGCATTGCAAAAGGATTTTTCAGCCCACAAAAAGCCCCGCCCCGTCCCTGCAATGCTAGCTCGGACCTGAAGTGAAAACTCGCTGAGCTCACCCACCTCTGCTGGGGGTGGGGACACATTATGGCTGAGTGCGGCCAAAGCCGTCCTCTCTCTGGGCCTGCCAGGTGCTCCACAGATGAAGGAAACCCGCAGCCATCGGGGCTAGCTCGGCAGGTGTGTCTTCCGTAGACATGGAAGGGGAGGTGGTGAGCGGACCCCGCTGGGTGTCACGTAAGACATGTCTTTCTTGCCTCACAGCACTTCACCCCTCTTGGGCAACATCCTTACCTCCATTTAACAAATAGATGGCTGAGGGGCAGGAAGGATTCAGCCCACCCCCAAACCCATACAGTGCTCTGGCTGGACCCTGAGGCAGCTGGGATATGAGCTTTCTACCTATCTGCAAACCCACCCATACTGGCTTCATCAAGCTATCCCCAAGGAGGCCAGGTCACACACCAAGTCAGTCAGGACCAGAGTCGGGTCACAAGCCTGGGTCCTGGAAACCAGGGCCTGAGTTCTTTGTGGAAGGCAGGACTACTTCCTGTGGGGACCTCTAGGAGTCTGGACGCCCGGGGAGGACTAGGCCTTGGGCTGGCAGAATGGCCAGGGCTTGTTTTAATGGCCTCATTGGTGGCTATATGGGTGCCACACCCTACCCCAGAACTGCTGAGTTCTGGGGAGCCTCCACCCCTTCCTGAGAAATCTGGGCTGCATCTGGGTCCGGTGCTCACAAGAGGACTTGGCTGAGCTGAAGAATGGCAAAGCGCTGCCAGGCGTGGTGGCACACAGCTTTAATCCCAGCACTCAGGAGGCAGAGGCAGGCAGATCTCTGTGAGTTCAAGGCCAGTCTGGTCTACAGAGTGAGTTCCAGGAACAGCCAAGCTCACACAGAAAACCCTGTCTCAAAAAACAAAAAAGAAAAGACAAAAACAAAAATGGTGAATCGGGAACTGCTGCTCCCTGCGTTATGTGGATCCCAGGTCCCCAATGCCCAGCTCTACAGGGAAAGAGAACGGGATAAGGAAAGTGGAGCCAGATCTGAACACCCACTCTGCGGCAGCCGTCACGGGTCTGGGATGAGCACAATCGGGGCACAAAGATGCTTATGTGTTTCTGATGACAAAAGGCCCATGGCCTGGCGTTACCCAGGGATTCCATGGGCCCCAACAGCTTCAGTCACTCACATGACTCATGTGGTTGGTTTGCCTAAGGCAGGGGATCTGCAGGGAATCTTGGAGCGTGTCAGAGGCGACAGAGAGAGAGGAGTTTTGCGCCCAGGCTGGGAGGCCACACCCTGAGCTGTTTTCACATTCTGTTTCTAAGTCTCCATTGCTTGGGGCGGAGGGGGGGGAACCTCTTGTGGCCAAGCGCCCATCATTTGTTTCTGCCAGCAGGCTGGGATCTTCGAGATGCCACATGTCACCCGGTACACACTCATTCAACAGGCTTCTTGAACTTGGAGCCTGCCAAAGCTCTCGCTTCAAACCTCAGTCCACTGCCCCATTCTGCCACTTCCCAGCTGTGTGACTCGTTCTCTATGCCTCAGTTGTATCATTTGGAAAACTGGGTAATTAACAGAAACACACACACACACACACACACACACACAGAAGTGCTGTGACACATAAATGAGTTATTAGAGATAAGTGCTTAGATCAGTGCCAGGTCCACGGCAAGTGCCCATGTTATTCTTATTGTGATTACATAGTTATGTGTGTGTGTGTGTGTGTGTGTGTGCTGTCTTAAATAAAACAACAAATGAATGTGACTGGCCAATGCTAGCAATATAGCTCCGTGGTAGGCCTTGCACACCAAAGGCTTTGGGTTTGAGCCCAAGCAAATAACAGTAAGAAGAAGAGGAAGAGGAGGAGGAAGAAGCAGCAGCTACCTCCAAGCCACTG